CACTTTTACTTATGGTGCATAGAATTATGGGGAAATTGAGTCATTTGGGTAACAATTAAACACTATGGACGCTAATATGTAAGCCTGGTGAACCCTGTTAGATATAAAAATATGCTTGGTCAAACTGTCCTCCAGATCACCCCTTACTCAGAGGGTATTATAGTGATAAAAGTCTCTAATAAGATATAAAATCTCTTATCAATAAAGATATAGATTATTTCTTAGTTTGTCCCATGGAATCTATCTGAAGGCAGATTTCAGGTCAGTAAAGTCAAATACAGAAAGTCATTTTCAAACCAACAAACCTGTGATAGTGACTAAACATGTCAGGGAGCGTTGGTCAATATTATTAATATGTATGAAAAGAGACTCCAAAAAAGGAGGCTCACCAGTTGGTATTGACCTTCAGGATTTCAGAAGTTATGGTATATGATCCTGGTTAATCAGAGTCTTCCTTCCAGACTGGGCTGCCAAATCCCATTCTGGCAGATTACATATTTAAATCCAGAGAAGACTGATTCTCAAATAATTAATCCATAGGTTTCACAATCAGTTCAGAGAAGTGAAACTCCCATGTGTCAGCAGTGATGCCTCAACAGCACGGATTGTTACTGGGCAAAGTTTTGTGAGACATATTACTCAGAAGCAGTGGCACTTCTGAGGCTGCTCTTGCCAAGCAGCTCCTATTCTAACCCACAATGAAGATGTCCTGCCAGGCTCAGTCATCACAACAAGCCATTATGGATATAAGTACTCTAAAAAAGCCACAGGATCAGGGTGGCTTCTTCAAGAAAATAAGCCACTCTGCTGAAACTGTGACAGGTTCAGACATCAAGTTCAGTTGCTTTCCCACTGTGTCAAATCAGGCCTTTGTATGCCTATCCAATCCAAGGCCTTCCCACTGTTGAACAAACAGAATATACTGTACAAAGAAATGAAGGTGGAAATTTGAGGTGCTGCCTAATACCCAGTGTCCCTCCATATTCCATATTCTCTGTGTTTGGATAGGGTAGGTAGGGCAAGCTATGAAACAGTGACATTCACAGGCTAGTACAAGCCACTTAGGGAAAAAGCAGACTTTCTAGGAAGACTGGACTGTGCATTTTCTCAATGTAAAAAATGCAGGTAGGGAACAGAAACATTAAAGTTCCAATTAGACCACCTAAAGGGAAGTAATGCTTCCAGTGGGAGTCAGACTCATGGGGAGTTCAAACCTTGCAAAACTTCTTAAAGTTTTATACATGTTAAACTTTAAACTCAGATGATCTGATAAAGACTTTAAGGAGTCCTTGTAAAGCTTATAAAATATGCAGTAATCTCTTCAGAATCTGTAAAGCCTGCAGGCTTCCTAAATCCTTGAACTGGGGCATTACCGTTAAGAACTTTAACATGCAGCTCTAATCAGAAAAGTTATTATATAAAAATAGCATGGTGCAGTAAAATGCTTACATTCTTTCAGTGATTTCCAAAGTAGATGAATGCAGTTTACAGAGTACATTGAAATAAAACTGACCTTTCTGTCCACTTTCCTGTAAATGTTAAATTGAATTTATACGGAGTGACTTTCATTCTTAACTTTTTAAAGGTTGTCATAATTTCACTTCAACAGTAATAAGACAAACATGGCTAGTCAAGAAGCACCTCGTCCCTTCCTCCAGAGTCCTACTAGATACTCAACCAGTTCCTGTTTTGTGTATAGCTGAAGTAGAGGACGCAGACTCATAATTCTAGATGCTTCATTCACACACCACTAAGCATATTATCAGCTACACAGGAGGGGTAGTTGTTCAGCCACTTGCTTTTGAGAAAGCAAATATTGCTTGCTGTCACCCCACCCATTGACATGTTAATTGTCAAGTCTCTAATGAATTGCAGAAATTCAGTGGCACATTCTGTTGATGTGATGCTAAAATGAAGTTCTTCTCTAAGGTTAGAGTCAACCTTCAACAAAAGTACTCTCCAGACTGGCAATAATAAATCCCTGGATTAAAGGACAATAAGCTCAGAAGTACTAACTATGCAAAAGATCTAAGCTATTTGCACTTTAGAAATAGCTTTAGTGCCTTGATTTGTGGGTACAAGGGCTTCTTATAGAGCAGGGATGCAAAACATCAGGCCCAGGAGCAAATCTAGGCTGCCAACGTTCCTGGTCTAGACTTCCAGGGTTGCCTATAAAGCCCAGCCCTTTCTCCCTATCATTTGGAGATTTTTCAACTTTTTGTGCATTGCTTCCCCTGTTCTAAAAGGTTGAAATACTGCTCCTAAGGTTTGAAAAGAGTTTTTTAATGCTTTACTCACTGGGGAAGAACACACTTCTGAAAAAGATGCACAGAAATTTGCATTCTCTCTGTTTGAAATATATGCTCTTCCTATTTGAATGAGTCCAAAGGAGTTTGAAAATGAAAGTGGAAGCAAAGAGAAATAAGTGTGAAACTGCATTTTAGAGAATTATGGTGAATTCAAAATTCACTGGTTCTTTTATCATTAGTTATGTTTGAAAGAGCTGGAAGCTGAAGCAGTATCTCTAGTGTGCAATTTACACATTCTAAGTTATAAAGAATCATCAGCTGAAAATCTAAGGTGGCTCTTAATTTGTTACACTGTATTTTAGTATTAAATCACATTCTATCACACCTTTTTTCCTTTGAGGAAAGTTGTTTACAGTTTTCAACTCCATTTTATCCTCACAAAAACAACCCTGTGAAGTCAGTTTGGCAGAGCCCCTGTGACTGATCACGCAGACAGTTTCATGACTGCATGGGGACTATGAGGGGCGTTCAATGTATTCTTGGTATCAGCATGAAGAAAAAGGAATAATAAATTGAAATAATTTTTATTTTTCAATGTAATCCCCCATAACTTCAATACGCTTATTACATCTAGAAATTAACTTTTCAATTCCCTGTAAAAAAATACCCTTCCTCCTTGTCTAAAAAATGTGCGTTAATTGCAGCCTTGAGCTCTTCATCGTCGGAAAATTGCTTTCCATGAAGATCTTTGTTTAAATTTGGGAATAGGTAGTAGTCACTGGGGGCCAGGTCCAGGCTATAGGGTGGGTGGCTTATTTCTTCGAAACCACAGTCTCGCACAGCAGCCTTTGAAACACGTGCTGTGTGGACGGGCACCTGTGGTCAGTTTTCCCTCCCTTTTTTCTTTAATTACTTCTCTTAAATTATGCAGAGTGGTTGCGTAAGATGCTGCGTTTGTGGTTTCACCTTTTTCATGTACTCAATCAATAAAATTCCCTTTGAGTCCCAAAACACTGTGACCATGATTTTTCCGGCTGATGGAGTGACTTTGAATTTCTTCGGAACATCTTTTTTATGCCACTGCATGGACTCCTGCTTACTTTCAAGGTCATAGTGACCCAAGTTTCATCTCCAGTAACAATCCATCGAAAATACTCGATGGATCTTCACCACAGAGCTCTAAAAACTCCCTACAGCACTCGACTCGCACTTGTTTCTGAGGCGCCATGAGCATTTGTGGCACCCATCTTGCACAGACCTTTGAAACGTTAAAATGGTCATGAAAAATAGTAAATATGGTACCAACAGATAGGTTTGTCATCTCTGCTAACATTTTGATTTTTATTCAGGCATCTTCCAATACAAGTTTCTCAATTTTTTTCACATTTTCTTTCGTAGTGGCAGTAACCGGTCCGCCCGAGCGAGGGTCGTCTTCAATGCTTTCTCTGCCCCTTTTAAATTCACTTGACCACTTCTGAACAGTAGATAATGAAGGTCCTGGTAAACAGCCACCATCTCTTCGTGAATGTTTTTTTTTACTTTTTCCTTGTTTTGTAAGGAACTTAATCACAGCGTGGTGTTCGATTTTCTTCAACATTGTCACATCAGTCGTTATGGTTGTCTTTCGCTGAGGATTACTAGGGAACTAATGATCACACTTATTTGAAATTTTGCATGTATACCCTCAGATAGTGTCTTTAGCTAATGAAATAATTAAATTACCCACATCAAATCAACCTGATACCGAGAATACACTGAACACCCCTCATAGAACCTGGATCTCCTGATCCCCAGCCCAGCAGTCTAACCACTATACCACACTAGCTCTCCTACATTTAAAGATTCCTTGTGTCCTGGTGGCCTCAGTACTGTATCAGTATTTTCATCTCATGCTATTTAAAGTCATACTTCAATCACTGAGTGGCTACAATCATTTTAATAGATCAGATTATAACAAATTATTTTAAGTGTGAGACCTCAGCAAGGTGAAAATATTTACACATCCTTACCTGACTCTGAATATTTATACTCATCTTTTAATGTTTCAGGAGAAAAAAACCTCCTTAGAATTGTGCGAAGACATCTTTGATCCCAGGCATCTGTAACTCTCCCTCCATATGTAATTTCCCCTGCAATGTCAATTTTACAGATTATGAGTTCACCTTTCATCTTTAGCATAATATATATAAGCTCTTATCCTTTCAGGCATATGTGCAAATATATATTGTTGAATTGATATTGAATAGAATGTGATTCTTTCCAAAGAGTAGCCTTTTGTGGTGGTGAGGGAGGAAATACTGTAGCATCTTACTATTATTATAAGTCTTTCCCATGTAAATTAATATGAATTATGAAACAACTCAATTACGAAACAAAATTACTTATTGTATCATGCACAAATTTAGCTGGTGTATTTGAACAAGCAGTCAATTTCCTATTTAATACAGGGAAAATGCATATTTTGTGAACCTCGAGTGTGGAAATGCTGGACCTCATAGTAAAATTTCCTGGGAATAATGCCCCATTATTTTATGACATTTGGTTTATTGTGTTTTTCAAATAATATTCCATTCCCTCCACCTCCAAGAAATGGTTTTCCCAGAATGGGATTATAAAATCTATGACAGGACCATATTAACATGTCTCCCTGATGAATAATCCAGTGAAAGGAATACAAGTTAGGCTCTCCTGACTTTTTGTGATAAAATCACCCTTAGTTATAATGAAATAACCTGAATAGGTTTTGTTACCTTCTGAGAGTATACTTTTATTTACTATCATTTAGAAGAAATAAAGCAGAAGTGTTTACATTTTTAGAAACAGATGATATGCACTATTTAATACAAACCAGGAAAAGTATACTGGTTTTATTAATTGACAAAATTTATATACTCTTCCATATACCAGTATGGAGATTTCAGGACAGAGAAGAATTACAACAAAATAATAAAACAATAAAAACAAGAACAGTAAAAGCATATCAATAAAAGGCTTCCTGACCTCAAAGTGTTTGTACTGTTCAAATAGAAAAAAAGATCATACCTAAAATATAATGCAGAGGCATTGATATAAGAAACTGGAAGGAAGAGTATGTTGAAAGAACTAGGAAGGGAAATGAAATGGAAGAGGAAGAAGCTTTCCTTTCAGGTTGAAACTGTAACATGAACCCTATACATATTTTCATTGTACATATTTTCATTGTACTCTTTTTACTTAAGAGTATGGTGAGCAATCATGATTGCAATGGTGACTTTCCATGCCTCTAACTTCCACATGCAAATTATAACATACACACAGAGTTAGGGAGCCATACATCAGAAAAGGGTGCTGTTGCATGCATGTCCTGCTTGCGAGTTCCCAAGGACAGCTGGCTGGACACCATGAGAGCAAATTGCTGGACTATGTGGGGCTTTGGTCTGATCCATCATGACTTTTATCATGCTCTTAAAAAGGTTTCATACAAATCATCTAACTGGAGTCTATCTGCATTCCCATCAGGCAGGGAGACTGACTGCAAGGAGGAGATGTGGGAGTCTGTTTCTAAAATAGTAGTGCCTTCACCCCAGCACCCCTATATAGAGAACCAAAAGAATGTCTGTGGACATTCTTCAGCACATTCAGATGCTGTTCACCATTTTCAAGTAACAATGTTACTTATACAAGATCATTGCTAGCAAAGTAAAACCAGTATTTTTACTGTTTTTTCTTTCCAGAACTCTCTCTAAGGAAGCTCACCAGGTTGCCATACCTCATCTTCTGAAAAATTACCCCAAAGGCTCTTAATTCAGCATGTGTTTCAGATGGGGGCGACTGATTGTTGATGCTGAACTGGGAGTATTTGCTGCTGCAAATTGCCATTTTAAAATTATTTGGAAGTGGTTGGTTGGTTTTATTGTTGTGCTCTTCCTGTCATCATTTCTTAAAGCACCCTAGTCTAGGGCCCACTGGGCCATGCAGCAGGAGAGAAATCTAGAAAATAACTTAATAAATGAATTAGTAAAATATTTTGTCCTGAACAATGTGCAAGGAACCTCTGTGAAGCTGCTGCTGAAAAAAATTAAACAGCTGTAAACAAGTGTTTGATAGATATGGGTGAATGAACAAATTTTTACAACTCATACTGACAGAGTACTTTCAATTGCAATTTGTCCCCTCTGAACAGCTTTCACTTAGCCAGCAGCTTGGAAAACACTTGCACTCAGCTCACAAACTTCGCAGTAATTTTAATCTTCAGCTTGGGAGAACACAGAATAGAATAATAGTACCCCTTTTCCCTTTACGCTGGAGGTATATGTTTTAGACTGTGGCACAGGAAACTAATGCTCAAAAATGAAGTTCCAAACCAGAAAAGTAAGTATGTAAACATGTTAGTCGAAGTCAGTACTTCTTGAAAGACGCAATTCAACCCTTTGGGCAAATTAGAGGACCAAAAATATTAAGGAAAAAAAAAACACTCTGGGAAGTATTCAACATGACAAAATCACTAATGTAAGTTAACACTGTGTTCATATAAACTACTTCTAGTACAGTGCTAAGAACATCAGCTGGCATGCTGAGTTTTCAAAAATAAGGCTTTCTTTTTAAAGGAACTGAAGATGTGGGGGCAGGGGTGGTCAAAGTTACAGAGAGTAAGTTAAGATCCAAATGGTATTAAGCCCAGTAAAAAGTATTTCACAACTATTTTCTGTTGTACAATAAATGTCATGAATGGGCCCATTCCCTCTTTCCTTCTGTTTATGAAACGCAAGACAATCCTTTGAGGTGCAGATCTTTGACTGGAATGGAACCCATTACAGAACAGTATGAATTCTAGATAGACTTCTCTAAAAACTGAGGGAAAAGCATGCTCATGCAAAGAGTTGAATTCAAATCCAAACAGGACATTTTCCCTCTGTCCCTCCCTTTCAGTAAAGCTTCTGATCTGCACCCTCAGTGAGGCTCTTGCCTCTTGTAACCTTCTCTGAGGTTGTGTTCCTGATCTTGGAGAAGCGTTGGTGCAGTTCTTTCTGCACTGGCTGCAAGAAGCAGTGGGAGTAGGTCTGAGTAGTCATCTCCAGCTGAAAAATATCTTATAGACCCTCGTCCACTGTCTAGGGGCCATTGGTTTTTATACGTCGACCTGACAGTTCTCAGTGCTCTTTCCTGACATTTCCTTCACCTCTAGTTTTGTTCCACCTTGTTGATATCTGGCCTTCACTTGCTCTCGACTTCACCTTCAGCTCTGGTCAGGCCATGCCTTGCTGCTATCTAACTCTGGCTTGTGCTGAACTTTGCCTATGTCTCTTATCCTACTGAAGCTCTCTGTTCACATACATCATTCCTGGTCCTGGAGCTCCAGTCATAGACACCTGTCACTTACATCCCAAAACTGACATTTGCTTTCCCTTGACAGATTACCATTTGGCAGCTGTCAGGGAAACCAAAGCAATAAATTAACCTATTTTCCCCTTTTAAATTAATGTTCTTGGATGGTACTCCATGAAAGTAGTCATTTCCAAAGACATTGCTAAAGCAAGGCTTTTTATTCTGGAGCCTGGTAAGGGCAGAGATGCACACTTGTGAGAAACCATTTAAAAATATAATTTGCTCAATTTTGTGACCAAGCTTTTTTTAAAATGTAAATTGCTGCCATTAACAAAATAATCTTCATACTGGTTCAGCTCAGTACAAATCAATTCAACGTGAGTGAACGTGGGAATTAAGTCAAGGATTTTCATCCTTCCAAACAGAATTCTCATACATCCCTAGGAATGAGCTACTCAGGCTGAAGTCCATTCTTAGGCTCTGCTTACCAGACAACACAGAATAAGCACAGCTACTTTCAGAACAGGGTTTGTTATTATATTCCATGAAAAAAACCCTAATGTTGAAATGACTCCATGGCACATTTTCTTTTGCAAGGCCTGCACTAAAAGATAGAAGAGGGCCCACCTGGCTGTCCTGCAAGAACTGAAAAATACCCTTTCCTGCAAAACTATAGATACACACATACATCCCAACAGCCCCCTCTAGGTCTTAATAAATGGAACTGCTGTTACCGTTAGCTTCACAAGCTCCTATTCTGCATTGCTCTAAAACAACTAACACACCAGAAGATTGGATAACAACACTGGACTACACTGCAGAGTTGTTATATGCTAATGTGACAACCTCCAATAAATATAATGAGACTTATGATAATAGCAGCACTCAGCTATTTTTATGGAACTAGTATGACCCACTCTCTCAGCTACAGCCATGACTCTTGTAGAGAGGATATAACAATGATTAAAGTTATTTGCACACTGAGTAACTTTTTAAAATATGTAAACTCAGGGGAAAAATTAAGATCTATATTAGAAATGGCAGTGTCTTTACTCCTACCTTTCCTTTGTGGGTAGATACACTACTGCCCAATTGGAATTACAATATGATCCCAAATTTCTAAATTTATTTTCTGATGTAGCAATTATTTCTCCCCCCCCCCAAAAAAGACCCCCAAAAGACTTCACAATTAACAAAGAACTTCATTTTCTAAAGAGTGGGTGTATCAAATGTTGCTATGAATTTATTCAGAGGCTAAAACCCCTGAAAAGACTATTTTTGTATACAAAACAAATGGAGAGAATATTTGCTGTGTGTTTTGCCGCATACCTTGGTTTCTATAAGTGCTGGAGACTTATTTTTCTTTTTTTCAAATGAAAGCTGTGAATCTAGGGATTATGACTCAACAAGGTGTCTGTGCCCCCACCCTTCCCCCTTCCTGTGGACACTCATGACATGGATAAGCATTAGTGTCACAGTTATTATATTGGCAACATACAAACCTGTTATATATGTAAGGGCATCCCAAGGTACCTTTCCTTCTTGACAATAAAGATTGAGGTTTAATAAAGCACATTCTCTGTCACTATCATTAAATTCGTAACATATATTCCAACCAAGAGGTCCAAATTTTTTCCTCTCCTTGAAGATATGAGACAACAAAGAGATAAGATTAGCTTTTTCAGTGTCCTCAGAGTAACTTTATGATACAATAAAAATAATTTTTTAAAAAATCACAATTATTTGGCACTTTCAGATTCAGAGTAGCTTTCCTACTGAATTCCATTTTGTGGTTAATTGCACTTATTTATATAGTTGCCTTGTTACGTGTATTCATTTTGTCATCCAAAATGCAAACCTGCATCTGAGTAGGAGAAGGGGGTCCTGCTTTTCTAAAGAGTTTGAAAATGCATTTAGTTCTTAATCACTTACCTTTTCAGGCTGTGCCTAGTTTCTTCCTGAGAACTGTGTTATATAGAGGTTCTTTGAGGGGGGCTCAAAGTTAAAGGGGAGGATTTACAGACACTGGTAGTGCATACTCACTGGTTAGGAGACCTGAGAAGGCTATGTAACATAATCTCCATGTCCCTTGGTCATGAAACCAGCCAAACTGATTCTTGGCATCCAGTTTTCATGAGTCTCAGTGAAGATTTGACTATAGAACTCTTGCAAAAGCAGTCTGGATAGACCAGAAATTGTCAAAAGAAAAAAGAAAAGAAGAAAGGAAAAAAAAACCCCACCACAACAGAAGAATCCATGGAAGACTTTGTCTAAATGTGACAAGGGGACATGCAGCTCCTGCAATGTTTATAGGAACTGTGGTGCCTACTCCGTAGGTATTTGCTTATTGCATTATGCAGATGACAGAACACTGAAACTCCATTACATTTTGGCAGATCATTAACTATACATGACTTTTTAAAAATAAGTCCCAATTTTTCAATGAGTCTTAGTCTCAGGTAAGTATGTCAGATTGCATCTTAGCAACACATTCAGGAAACTAGGAACATTAAATTACACTGCAAAATATTTCTCAGCCCTTAAATTGTGCCCAGGGTAAGCTCAGGAATGGGTATTGGGTCATGCACTCCCTTCCTCTCCTAGAACTCTTAGGTATCCCTATTTCCAAAGCATTTTGAACACAATCCAGAAAAAACTGAAGGATACCTGAGTTAGTTGTAGTCCATTCAAAGTTTTAGATTTTTAAAAAAATTTAATTTAAATTTTTGTGAATAAAACTGACTCTCTGAGTTTTTCCGTATTTTCTGGTCTTAATACATATAAAGATCTACAATATTTACTTCAGAAAAAGCCTGACTTCAGAGCTGGCATTAGGTGGGTGTTCTGGAAGGCAGGAAGGAGAGAAATGAGGATCTGCCAGGATTTGATGTCCCAATTCCACAGGGTTCCATTTTATTTCCACTGGGAGAGGTCGTCCAGAGGTTTGGGCTGTGGAGTCATCAGTATGCTGATGACACCCAGCTCTACCTCTCTTTTACATCTAGTCCAGGTGAGGCAGTGGCTGGCTGAGGTATTGGGCTGGATGAAAGGAAATAAATTGACACTTAATCCAGGTAAGATGGAGGTCCTGTTGGTAGGCAGTTAAGCCTTCCAGGCAAGTGATTTTAGCCCTGTCCTAAAGGATAGGGTTTGCAGTGTGGGAGTGCTCTTCAACCCAGAGCTGTCCCTGGAGTCCCAGGTGGCAGCGGTGGCAAGAAGCACTTTCCTCCAGCTTCGGCTGATCCATCAACTGCGTCCTTACCTGGATGAGCACTGCTTTGCAACAGTGACCCAAGCTTTGGGACCTTCTCAGCTAGATTACTGTAATGTGTTCTGCGTGGGGCTGCCATTGAAGATGGTCCAGATACTTCAATTGGTTCAGAATAGAGATGCCAGGATGTTAACGGGGACCAGACAATTTTCACATATAATGCCAGTCCTCTACTGGTTACACTGGCTACCAATTGAAGTTCGGGCACAATTTAAGGTGCTGGTTATGACCTATAAAGCCCTAAATGGCTTGGGTCTGGGATACCTGAAGGACCACCTTCTTCCCTATGTGCCCTCCTTCCCCTTGAGAGCTGAGGTGAAGATCTTGCTCCGGGAGCCCTCCTTGAAGGAGATTAGGAGGGAGAGTACCCAGAGGAGGGCCTTCTCTGAGGTGGTGCCCCATCTATGGAATACGCTCCCCAGAGAGGTTTGCATGGCGCTAACATTGTATTCCTTTCAGCGTCAGGCAACCCCCTTTTTAATTTCCCACTATTTTGATGTTTAATTGATTTTAACTGGGGTTTTAGTATATTAATGGTTGGATGCTGTGGTGTTTGTTTTATTCTACTCATTTATTGTAAACCATCCTGAGATGTTTGTAGGGGACAGGATAGAAAAGCTTTTAATCAATAAATAGATTTACTGTCCCAAGCCTGAGGTTGTCCTCCTCCCATGCCATGGCAAAAGATTTGACCACTATAAGAGGCTGTTTAAATCTTTTGTAGATTGAAAAAATTACAGAGGTGACCTCCATGCTCCTCCTGCCCTCTATAGGATGTTATAATTCCCTGAGTTTGGAGGGTTACAGACAGCCACTTTGGATCATGCCATTAAATTGTTTCTGAATGTCATAAAAAAGGATTAGATTTCCTGCTCCACAGAACATTTGATAATCCTTCTTTAAATTTACTTTAATCAACATAGTATTTTAAAATAGATCCATGTTTGTTGGTTTACAGCAAGTTTCAAATTATAATTAGATCAGCTATTACACTAAACCAATAATTGCCTTGCGGTCAAAGACTACAATTATGCTGCAACACTATCTCACTGGAGGAAGGGCAGGATACACATGTGTGAAATACATATATTTATAAATGAAAACACCACTATTTCAAAATATTGCTACTATCTTCATATTCTTAAATCAGTATGGGATACCTGGATAATTGCATGGAAGAAGCAAATGCCAAAAATGATTTTTCTCCAGATTTTTCCTAAGATATTTTCTTCAAAAAATGAAGATGTCATTTCTGTGAATGCTCGTCTAATGTTTGCCCGTAGACCTTTAGGTGGTTCATTGGTTACCTGAATAGACATATATATACATTTACGTGTTTGCTGGACTGATCTTTATACTAAACTGAATGTTATTTTTCTACACATCCACAGCAATATTCCTACAGTTAATAAGAACATTATTGTTTATGGTGCTGCTATGAAAGAATGGTCACAAAAAAAATTACTATATTTATTTGCCTACACAGCTACAAGATTGGGCTTTGTGTTGTCAAGTTAATGAATGAATTAGTAGCTATTTGTATGCAAATTGTACTTTTGGTTGAAGGAAAACTCTCAGCTTTTAACCAATGTAAGACACTTGATTTCTTACCTCAGGAAGCATATGGCAATGAAAAACTACATTATGAGTTAAAGAAATTTAGAACAGAATGCAACTGGAGAAGAAAAAGAATAATGATATGTAAGCAGAGTAATTATTCTGTGCTTAAAATAAGAATTCATACAATGGAGCAGAACTTTTATAATTTGTATTTCAAAATGACATTTTTAAACACCTAGATCTTGGGTTGATACAAGATTTCACTAGGTAGAAAGAATTCTAGCCGTAAGTAGAATTACTAAGACCAGTAGAATCAGAGAACATAAGAGCTCAAAGGGGCCAATATGGCCATCAGGTTCAAACCCCTGCTTAATGTAGGATTCTATGTTGGCTGTCCAGATGTTTGTCCAGCTGCATCTTGAATGTCTCCAGTTTGGAAGAGACTAGAAGGTTCTTCTCTGCTCACAACTAATCTTGCTTCTTAAAATATGCATAGCAATATATTACCCTAGAGATGTGCGTCGAATCCACCAGGGGTTGGGAACCCACTGGATTCCCTGGGCTTGGTTCCTTGGACTCCAGGTCACTTTATAAAAGCCCAGAGTCAAAACTCCTGCCAAGCATGTTCACTTTTTGCAAGGGACAGCCTAACCCTGTTCTATTGCACAACTGGGACTACTTTAACACTCCTGTGCAGTGCAAGAAGCAGCTCCAAGGACAGAATAAAAAGTTTAAGGAAATTACATAGAAACACAGAACCTGAGCAAGGCAGAAGTGGCCTCCCAGGCCATATAGTCTGACCCTTGGCTCCAGACAGCTCCACTCATTACATGCCTACCATGTGCATGTCCAGCCTATCCTTGAACACCCTCACCAATGGGGCTTCAACCACCTCCCATGGAAGCCCATTCTATACTCTTGGGGTCCTGTCAGGAAGTACTTCCTGGCATCCAAATTGAACCTTGGTTCCCTGAACCTTGCTCCATTGGAAGGTGTCCTGCTCTCCTCTGCAGGTCTCTGCACACCTCCATGTGACACCCCCTTATGTATCTAATGTTATGTATCTATAACATTTCCCCTTGGAGTCTCCTCTTCTGCAGGCTGAAAAGATGCAGTTCCCTCAGTCTTGCCTGATAATGCTTTCCCTGCAATCCAGCCACCATCCTTGTGGCCCTACGCTACACTGATTGTAACCTGGCTATATCCTTCCTGCAATGTGGAGCCCAGAACTGAACATAATACTCCAGTTGCAGGCACACCAGAGTGGTAGTAATACCTCTCTCGATCTAGAAGCCACACTTCTGGCTATGCAACCAAGGGTGGTGTTCACCCTCTTGACTGATGTATCACACTGCTGACTCATGTTTAGCCGGTAGATGACCAGTACCCCAAAATCCCTTTCACAAGTGCTGCTCTTCTGCCACTTCTCCCCTAGCCTGTATTATGACACCCATTCCCATGTCCCAAGTGCAAGACCTTGCACTTATCCGCATTGAACACCACCCTGTTGTCCCCTGCCCACTTCCATAGTCTGTCCAGATCCTTCTGGATCTGGAGTACCTGCTCCTCAGATGTGGCCTCTGCCCCTATTTTAATATCATCTGCAAATCTGATCTGCGAATTACAACTCACAAGTGATCAGGGGTTGAACAGAGCATCATTCTGTGACAAGCTTGCTAGTGTCCTGCTAGGTCAAAGGCCTGGAGGACTGAAGAGAAAGGAGGGTGGCTTAGAGTGACATAAGAACTTAGAGTGCTTACGCACTGCATAGGTAAGTGCAACCTCTTACTGCAAGACATGCAAAAAGTTGAGGCTTCCTTAGCTACGCTTGAGCAACAGGTTTGTTTGAATGATACTTGCAAAACCTGCTCTTTTCCTTATTGTTGAAAAAAGGAGCAGAAGGCCCTGTGCTATCTTCTGCTTAAGGTGAGGTAAGCTGTGAAACTCAGCAGGAGAACAGGATCACAGGCAGTTCAGTGTGGAGGGCAGTTTCAAAAGGAGATATAGCTATCTTCCTCACTAAGAAAGCTGCTGGTGCTTAAACAGGCAGAATCCTATTTCTCAGATTCAGGCTGGAGAACTCCTATTGCTCCTGGGATGGGGAGTGGAGGCTGTGAAGGATCATCATGAGGATTCTGAATCCTTGTAGTCAGAGAGTGAAAACAGGTGGGCCACAGACCATGCAGGTGAAGTGTTTAGTGGTTTCTAAGTTTTTCACCCATGGCATTCGATAGTGGCATGGTGCCATCTGGAGCAGTGAGGGTCTCCATCTTCTGTATCTTTAGTCTTTTTTTAGTAAATAACTGGGGCATAGCTCCCAGACTCTATGACATTTGGCTAATAACCCCTGCACAGATCCTGGAAGCTCTTGTACATGCTGCTCTATGAAAATGGCCATTTCCATGATCCAGGATTATGGTGTGCATATGAGTAACATCCAAACTATTTACTTAAGATGCCATCTACATGACTTTGATCAGGCCATCCCCATCAGCATAGGAAAAAAAGGCTTCATTCTGTAGGCTGTACGCTGCGCAGAGGTCTGGATGATAAATATACTTCACTCATATTTTACAGGAAATATGAAATCTGTATTCATGCAAGCATTCAGAGTCTTGGTAGTGTAGTGGCAACCCTAAGGTTGCATCTTTTTGAAGTATGAATAGAATGAGGGATATGCACTTGTCATTGGAATGTAGAACATGTGAATTTGTACCAGTAAAAGTATACGCTTAAGGAATCAATACTTTGAAAAAGCTTTAAGCAACTCTAGAACAGATGAAGACAGTGTAAGGTATACAGTTTTAGACTTTGCCAGGTGTTGCTGAATGACCATAAGCAAAAATATCCATACTTTTACTAAAATAGTTAAGAATATATTCTATGATTTATGGCTAGTGAAACTGGTCATTTGGAAAAACGCCTGGTTAAACAAATTCTGTGTCAACATGCACTTGACTTTATTTACACGGCTGTGGCCATAATAGTTTGAGTGAGACTCTTTCACCTTACCAGTACTGCCAGCTTGTTTCATTAACCAGAAACTCCTGCATTTGTTTGCTAAGAAGATAGCACCATTGTGTTCAGTGGAGTTTTCTCTCCGATAAATGCGCACAGGATTGCGACTCATCTACTAGCATTACCTCAGTAACCCCCACTCAGTGCTCATACTGATGTAAATGATGGAAATTGTAGTAAAATACCTCTGGAGGGCACCAGGTTGGAGAAGACTGCTATATACACATAACTCACTAGGACTTATTTCTATGTAGATATGCATAGGATTACATCATTTGGATAACAAAGGAGAAAAGAATGAATTTAACAATAATGAAATCTAACATGAATATTTATGTGGGGACAGACATTTTTTCCATATACTGTTGAAAATGTTACATTTCCAGGGACAGTTTCAACTCCATTTTCAAACATATGCTTCCTGGAACCCAGGGAGGTTTCAGGGTTAAAAGAAAAAAAGAAAAGAAAAATGTGGCTTAAAAGCTCTTGGGTCACCACTACGCTGAAAGTTGAAAATACTTCAAAATCTTTTAATAAAAAAATGTGCATTGGAACTAAACCAACAGATTCATAATTTGATGAACTGGGTCAGTTCACAAAACTATTGAAACTGGAGACATAGATTCAAAGAGCAAGAAGAAGAGAGCCTAAGGGGAAAAGAAGGTGGGGGAGAAGATGGATCCTCCATGGCAGTGCCCCCTATTGTCTATCTACCCTCATACCCCAATATATTCCATTCCTAGCCTTCTGTCCTACCCTAAATGTGGAACTCCTTTCCTGAATAGCTATGGTGCCATCTCTCTTACTTCAAGCCGCCGTAGCCCTTATTAAACAAAATGAAGGCTAAACATGCAGAACCGCTTTTGCATGAATAGATCCAAATCCCTTGCAACCATCTTCTCTTTCTTCCCCTCCCCATTCCTTCTATCTGTTGTTTCCTCCTCTATCATAATTTAGAATGTAAAAAGGGCTGTCTGCTTTGTGTTATTGGAATGAGTGTCCAACTTCAATAGAAGTACCAGTAGGAGCAGATAGCCGGAAGCTGATCTAACTACTTGCAAGTTTTTTCTTGCAACTATTCTAGGTTTGTCAGGTTGCTTATTTCCCAAGATGAAACAACTTCAGAGGCAGTTAAATGTTCCCTCAATGAACTCAGCAGTGTTCTAGATACTGACAATTAATTACTTTGTATTTTCCATTTAACTGATCATTTCAAAAGCCAGTACCTTGACAGAATTTTGAAGGACAGTAACAGGGAAAGTATTACATGGCATGGAGCTCAAATAGAGTCGAAAGCTTTCATGGATAGAGACATCTGAAAAATACATGTGATAGAATGTTATAGTCACACTTGTGAAATAAATTATATTTCAAAATAAAACGAACCTGTAGGATGCTTCCTAAAGCAAATTTATTTCTAAAATGTTAGGTGCAATATCTGCCAGAGCAATTGAATTATGTATGGAAAATGTAACAATCCCATTAAAGGTAATTTTGGCCCTAAAACACTGAGCCAGCTTTTGTCTCCCATCACTAGGCAATCCTAGGCAAACCATTTTTATCTCAGCCATCCATCTACACTATAGGCACAATAATGATGATCCACTTTAAAGAGTTCTTGTAAGGACAATTGAGCTAATACATACACAGTGTTTTAAAAATGGCAAACATCTATATAAATGCCATGAAATATTATTAAATGTCAATGATAATGAGTATTGAAATGTTGCAAATGAATATACTCTGGTTTGATGAACCATTTTTAATAACCATACTAACGTTCCATCATCACATTTTTAAAAGTTCTGAAATGGCTCTAATTTTTTGAGACACAGCATGACTAGGAAAGAAGAAAAATACGTACTTGGCTCCGTAAATGTTTTTATAAGCTCTTCCATAGGTAACATCCAAGAAACAGCTAGATGACAATTCTGAAGAAACACCCAATTTCCTGTTTTCATTGCATCTTTAATCATTTTTTCTGCAATAGGTCCTTGACCTTGTCCTAATGAAATGGATTGTACTCTGAAAGCCAGAGTATATTTTCTTAGCATTCATATTACGTGTAGTTTAGATACATTATTTAACCACTTTAATTGCTTAACATCTAGAGCACTCTTTATTATTTAGGTCACTAAACAAAAGGAGTGCAGCTTTCAAATACACTGAACATCTATAAAGCAAAAACTCAAAAGCAGGTATGTAGCTTTGGGCTATCAGTGTTAATTAACTGCAATTAATTAACAGTAAATTCAATCCCTACAAAATATACGTTGCCTGTAATTAAAAAAAAAAAAAAACATTAGTAAGATATTTGCTTGTAAGCTGTACCTCCACTGATAGGAACAGCTGTAGACCTTTCAATTTTTTACAGTAGAAACTCCCTCAGGGTAGGGATGTGACTTTTCATTGTCAAATGAACTCCTGTTTAAATACTGCCAACATTTAAGCAGCATGAGTCTGTGACAGACCTTATGTCATTGTCTTTTGAAAACTGGAAGTCACAGTGCCTAAAGTAGAAGGGTACTCATAAGATTAAAGCAATTTATAGGTAATTTCTCAAATTCCCTGAAGCCTTTATGATCCAAGAGCAACATCCCAAAGCCAACAGGCTTCTGTAATTCCCAGGCATGGCAAAAGAAAAAAAATATGCACACTGAGTGCCCTTCAATAATTTTCTTAAAACAGCACTTGGCAAAAGAGGGCTAAATATTCAGCCACTCTTGCACAGCTTAAGAACCAAAAGTAAAGTGTACCCTACTGTATACTTGACAATCTGCCTATTTGGCAGTTCCATGCAGACAACAAAAAAGGAAAGGTTTTATGTTGAATTCCTGTTCTCAGTTTCCTCTGGATGGCTTTATAGATCTTCAGATTAGGTGGAAAGGTAGGGTCCACAAACAGATTCTCCAGTGGGAGGGGCTACTTTGCTAAAAAAGCACAAGTGCTCACAAACTCCTAACTCACAAACTCCATACACTGACTTTCACAGTTTAACTTGTCAATAATCTGCAAGAAGGTCCAGGGAATGACCCAGCAGATTCCCTTCAGAGGCATTTTCTCTGAAAGCTGCTATGGCACCAATTTCCATGAGAGAATGTACTGTAATCCTGATGGAAGGTGCCTTTCCCAGAGACTGATATGCCAGGATAATGTCTTTCCTCATCATCCAGAAATAGTCAAGGCAGAGACCTTCTTCTTCAGGGACTCCTCTTCGAAGGACACAAACTAATCCTAATCCTAACACTAACCCTACTTTTACAGAAATGTACACACACACACACACACACACACACACACACACAAATACTAAGTGTGGTCTGCGGTCTCAGAATTCAAACTTTTGGGAGGGAAAATGGAAATGGAAAATTGCGGGTGGGAGCACTGACTGGAGTGGTGATAATCCTGAGCAGGGAGCATTCGATACAAAAACATTTTGCTTGTCATAACTCTAAAACTGAACATGTTGGCTGTATTATGCAATGTGTGTGTGAAGCAATTATTACAGGACATTTTCTCCACTGCAACCAAAACCCCACCTTTCTCAATTTAAGTAGGTTGGAAAACTGTACCAAATAAGCTAGAATGGAATCATGGCAAAAAAAATTAGTAAATCTCTTTGGTACATTTGATCATGAAGACTACATAACCAAGAAGCTTCCACTGAGCATCTTTTTTATACTTTGCAGGACAGCTGTTCAAAAACCATCATATGAATGTACAATCCCATGGTTTAACTTTGTATTCCTTAGAAAAGAATATTGAATTATTGAATAAAACAAAGATAACAAAGTACCTTTAAGACATACCCAAAAGTCATATGCCATATGGAAATCAGCATCAAATTGTACATAGAATGAAAATATCTAATTTATACCGTTCTGAATATCCTCGCTCTTTTGCAAACCTCTGGAATGCTCCCATGGGATCAGAGCCAGTACTCAAGATGAACACTAGCGGCGTGGAAGGAGACATATCTTGGTAAAGAGTTGCCAGATCAATTGGAGGATTCTCTATGAATTGTTTCCCAAGGTTCTCTATTACAAATTCAGTAAGTGCAGAAACAATCTATAAATAGCAACACAAATTTGTAACTGCAAGGACTTGAGAAATTGAGAAAAATAAACATAATTCTATCTAGCATAGTTATTCTGTTTACCTCCCAACAGCAGTAATGTAATATTGTTGTTTCATCTTTGTGTAAACTGAAAAAAAATCTAGTCTACAAACAAAATCCTCATGTAAATGAAATAAGTTAAACAGGTTAATCATTTTGGAACTATATCCTTGCAATGTAACTGCATTTTAGTTAACCCTATCCATATTAACTTGGAAATGTCATACTAAATGCAGTGGCATTTACTTTGAGGTAATCAAGGCCCCTATAGCCTTTGAGGATCCGATACCTTCATTTACCATGTATGTTACCTAGAAATCCTTGGAGGTAGGTGAAATACGAATGTGATAAAACTATAAGATAATGGTGTTTGTTTCTTTATCCATGAAGCAATGTAAATTTAAGTGAAGCATGCATATATTAAGGCATTTGACGTTCATATTTGCAAATTTTTGTACAGGTCTCAGATGTCATTTGACTTGCATGATTCAGTTTCTCAATGTAAAGTGAAGGGTCAGAAGTCAAGCTGCCTTCCAATTGTAGTCTGGGCCCAATTTAAGTTGTTGATGATAACTTAGTGCATCGGCCTAAGGGTGGTGACGCTGTTTGGGACCGTGCGGGGGCTGGGCTGGCCAGGGACTCTGTGGGTTGGCTTCCTTAATCTGCTGTCGGTGGGGTGGTGAGATTTTATTGTTTTTAATTGTTTTTATCTGGTTTTAATGGATTCACACTTGGCTGCTTCTATGGGGTTGCCTGGGGAGCGCGTGGGCCCCGCCATTGGGGTGGTTATGGGCAATGGGCATTATGGCATTGGGGGTTTAACGGGTCCGCATAGAAGGAGGGACAGACGGTTGACACCGGTCCCCCTTTCTGGTTATTCTCCCAGCCGGAAGGTTCCGGGTATGTTTATCAGCCGCCCCTCGGGCCTGACGGTGCTGTTACTTAAGGCCAGATCAGTCCATAATAAAACATCCCTCATCCACGACTTAATCGTGGATGAGGGGGCCAACCTGGCTTGCATCACAGAGACCTGGGCGGGGGAGGGGGGGATGTATCCCTCTCTCAATTGTGCCCGCCCGGGTTTCTGGTTCAGCATCGGCCACACCCAGGGGGGAGGGGGGGTCACTTTAGTTCATCGAGCCTCTCTTTCCCTTGCGGGGCTTCCTGTCCTCTTGAGAACAGGTCTAGAGTGCCTCTACTTGGCGCTGGGCGACCAAGACAGATTGGGAATTCTGTTGGTGTACCGTGCACCCTTCTGCCCAACAGACTCCCTGTCTGAGCTGACGGAGATTGTCTCGAACCTGGTGTTGAAGACTCCCAGGATGCTGGTCCTGGGGGACTTCAATCTCCATGCCAAGACTGATCTGACCGAGGCGGCTCAGGACTTCATGGGCTCCATGACGGCCATGGGGCTGTCTCAACATGTCATTGGCCCGACTCATGAACATGGACACACGCTGGACCTGGTTTTCTCAACGGGACAGGAAGAGGGTGATCGGAGGGTGAGGAATTTGGGTTTGACTCCCCTGTAATGGTCAGACCACTTCCTCGTGAGGTTTGAGCTTGATGGCGGCCTTTCCCTCTGTAAGGGTGTGGACCCTATTGTGTGGGTCCGCCCTCAGAGCCGGATGGATCCGGATGGATTCCTGAAAGCTCTGGGGGAGTTTCTGGTTGATAAAGCTGGAGCTCCTGTTGACACTCAGGTCAAACTGTGGAATGGGGAAATGACCAGAGCTATTGACACGATCACTCCTAAGCATCCTCTCCTGCCAGGCAGAGCCCGTTCATCCCCTTGGTACACACCTGAATTACGGGCGATGAAGCGGGTTGGGAGACGACTAGAGCATAGGTGGAGAAAATCTCAGGATGAATCTGACCAAACACACTTAAGAGCCCATTATTGGGCCTATGCTATGGCAGTGAGGGCAACAAAGAAGGAATTCTTCTCCACTTCCATTGCCTCCTCACAGTGCCATCCAGTGGAACTTTTTCGGTGGTACAGGGGCTGGTACAGCCAGGCCCCAAGAAAGATCCTGTACCACCCTCGATAACCCGCTGTGACGACTTTGCCCGGCACTTCAAGGAGAAAGTCGCTCAGATTCGTCACGAGCTGGACTCCACTAGTGACTCAGATTCCTTAGGGGAGGTGCCAATGTTACCTTCTGGTCACACATAGTTGGATGAGTTGCAGTTATTGCGGCCTGATGACATGGACAAGGTGCTTGGACAAGTATGTACCACCACCTGTGTATTGGACCCCTGCCCATCGTGGCTACTATCCAAAGCCAAACACGGGATTGGTTCCTGGATCCAGGAGGTCATCAACGCCTCTTTGAAGGACGGCCGGGTGCCTGCCCCTCTAAAGGAGGCGGTGGTCAGGCCGGACCTAAAGAAGGCGTCCCTAGATCCAGAGATGGCTGCCAATCATAGATCGGTGGCCAACATCCCGTTTTTGGGCAAGGTGCTGGAGTGGGTGGTGGCAGGACAACTCCAAGCTCTCTTGGATGAGACTGATTATCTGGACCCATTTCAGTCCGGCTTCAGACCCGGGTATGGTACTGAATCTGCCTTGGTCGCCCTGTATGATGACCTGTGCAGGGAGAGAGGCAGGGGGAGTGCGTCCCTGTTGGTTCTCCTGGACCTCTCAGCAGCTTTTGATACCATCGACCTATTCTGGATAGGCTAAGGGGGTTGGGAGTAGGAGGCACTGCTTGGCAGTGGTTCCGCTCCTACCTCAACAGTCGATTCCAGAAGGTGGTGCTGGGGGACTTTACCTCTGTGCCATGGCTGTTATGCCATGGAGTTCCGCAGGGGTCTATTCTGTCCCCCTTGCTCTTCAACATCTACATGAAACCGCTGGGAGAGGTCATCCGGAGGTGTGGGCTGCGGAATCATTAGTATGCTGATGATACCCAGCTCTACCTCTCTTTTTCAACCAATCCAGGTGAGGCAGTGGCTGTACTGAACCGGTGCCTGGCCGAGGTAATGGGCTGGATGAGGGCCAATAAACTGAAGCTCAGTCCAGACAAGATGGAGGTCCTGCTTGTAGGTGGTTCGAACTCCTGGGTAGGTGACTAGGATCTTGTCCTGAATTGGGTTGCACTCCCTCTAAAGGACAGGGTCCGCAGCTTGGGAGTGCTCCTTGACCCGGAGCTGACTTTGGAAGCTCAAGTGTTGGCGGTGGCGAGGAGCGCTTTCCATCAGCTTCAGCTGATCCATCAGCTGCGTCCCTACCTGGAGGACGACTGCCTAGCGACAGTGACGCATGCATTGGTTACTTCCCGGTTGGATTTCTGTAACGTGCTCTACGTGGGGCTGCCCTTGAAGACAGTCCGGATACTTCAGATGGTGCAAAATAAAGCAGCCAGGTTGCTGACGAGGACTGGGCATTATTCTCATATAACCCCAGTCCTCTACCAGCTTCACTGGCTTCCCATCAAAGTCCGGGCTCAATTCAAGGTGTTGGTAATTACTTATAAAGCACTTAATGGCTTGGGACCCGGATACCTGAAGGAACGCCTGTGGCCATATTTGCCCTCCCGCCCGAGATCGGCAGCAGGGGCTCTCCTCCGGGAGCCTTCCGTAAGAGATATCAGGAAGCAAAGTACCCAGAGGAGGGCTTTCTCTGCGGTGGCACCCCATCTGTGGAATGCGCTCCCCAGAGAGGTATGCCTGGCGCCATCATTATTTGTTTTTCAGCGCCAGGCCAAGACCTTTTTATTCAAACAGTATTTTAATAATCTTTAATATTTATACTTTTAATTGTGCAGCCAGTGTGTTTCCAAGTTTTAATTGTAATTGTAATTGTATTGTTTTATTTATTTGTTGATGTGAGCCATCCCGAGGCTATGTAGCAAGGGGGATGGCATATAAAAACTTTAAATAAATAAATCAATAAAAACTTATAAAGTCCCAAATGGCTTATTTATTTATTTATGACATTTGTATGCCGTCCAGTTACTAACATCTCTGGATGGCTAACAGCATAATTAAAGGACATGGGTATCTGAATGAGCGTCTCCTTCCATATATTCCTGCCTTCCCCCTAAGGTTGGAGGTCCTTCTTCGGGAGCCCTCTTTGATGGAGCTCAGAAGAGTGGCTACCCAGAAAAGGGACTTCTTTGTGGTGGCGCCCCAGTTCTGAAACATACTTCCTAGGGAGATGCACCTGGGCCTGACACTTTATTCATTTCAGCGCCAGGCCAAGACTTTTCTATTTTCCCAATATTTGAACAGCCGATGTGGTTTTAATACGGATTCTACTTTGTTATTTATTGATGCTGCTTTTTTATTATTGTACTGCTATCCTGAAGCCTAAGGAAAGGACAGGGTAGAAATGCTTTTAATAAATGAATGAATGAATGAATAATGAATAAATTCCTTGTTTAACACCTGCCCAAATCTGAACGCAATTCTACAAAATTACACCACCAGATTTCGTCCCTCTCTGTTTACGGCTGAGGCAGCAGTTGCCATGGTTGTATTATTATAATCCTAGCTTACTTGGCAGCAATGTTTCAGCTATCTATGTTTCAGCAATATATATACTCTGAATTCATTGAGGTAATAATAATCAGAGAAGAATATAGTATTATCTTGTTTATTCTATGGCTACCACAAAGATAATACAACCAATAACTGGTAGTGTTGCATTAGAATGTTCTTCTCTGTCTAGAAACTGTTTTTTCCAGAAATCTGAGTTCTTGATGGGACAATTGGGCTATGCAGCAATATCATCCTATATAGTGCTTTGTCATTAGAAAGCTTACCTTTTCTTCCATAAAACTTTTCACAACAATCAGTTTCTGAAACATGGTTAGCCTAGTATCCCAGGGAATGTTTGATCTGTCATCTTTGTTTTTAGTTCCTTCAGTTTCAGGCTGATAGTCTTCCCACTGTTCTGGATTGACACGAATTTCAAGTTGCCCTAAAAATAATAATACAATAAAATAAAATAGAGCATTATTACTCCAAGCCACTTAATAACTTCCTAGGGAAAAAAACATTATTCAGCACTGGAATAGTTATTCTATCTGTCATATAATGTTACAGAAAATGCAAGGGGTTTGTTCTTAGCATCTCCATAATCATATCAAATATACTGCTATGAATATTGATGTGCAGAAACAAAATGTTAGAAGATTGTGGCAATGCTAAATACTATATTCATCTAAAAATTGGTGACCTTCTGAATACCAAATGCAAGTTACATAAACATACAATGGCCTAAGAAATTAAAATAATTTGGAATATTTCAAAATGAGTATAGTATGATGGAAGGCCGTATAAAATCTTCTCAACTGTAGAAAGCTTGGCAGAAATATACTTATAATCCCTTTTCATATACATTATGTTACCTAATTTAATGAAAATGTGTTTGCACAATATGTCTGTTTGAATCCCTTCAAAACATGGAAGTGTTTCTTCTAAGTCACAGCACATAAACCAGGTATTTTCTTCAAGCCATGGAACGTTAGGTTTCTCAGGCCGCTCCTATTTATAAAGAAAATAAGTAATGTGGGGAAAGATTGTCTAAAGCATATATTCAGTCAATGTATTTGCTTAAAAATGAGTACTACAAAAGAAACACAAAATAGAGGCATAATTAGTTTATTGGCTATTTCATAAAAGGTCCTGATAACAATGGAACAAATGTTTAAATGCAGAGTATAAGAACTTGGGAAGTAACTTTCTTTGAAATTAATGGGAACTTATTTTCAGTGTTCTCTTAGTGTCCTCAAAGTGAGGGATTGGGGAAAGATACTTCATGGGGTGCTGACAGAAAACAAGAAGATGCTGGCTACAGGAATTGGAGGAGGGGGTGGGGGACAAAGCATGTCCACTTACATGGTGATATAAGTGATTAAAAAAAGGGAGTGTGCACCTTGGGGCCAATTACAGACATGGTAGCTCGTGGGATACATGCAGTCAGTGGGAGGTTTTGGTGGGGAAGATGGAAACTGCACTAATGTAGAAACCACCTGATCATCTCTCAGGTAGATCAACGTTAAAAGGGACAAACTGAGGTAACCACACAGGGTTGTTTGCTGTGATATGTCAGTGTTACATCATCTTTACTGACTCCTTGTTGAATATGTATAAAGTGCTTTACAGCTTGGAGCTAGTATATTTAAAGCAGTGCTTTTTCCCATACTCCTGAACCCTGAGATCAACATCAAATATTCTGCTGCAAGTGCTCTTACATCATGAGGTATGCCAGGCAACTACTCAAATGGTCTCTTCACTAATAAATAGCCACTCAGTTATGGAACACCTTCTCCAGAGTGATCAACCTAGTGCCTACGTTATATTTTCAGCACCAAAAATCTATTTTTACGGCTTTTAAATCCTCATATTTCTCCTACTGTGTTGCTTTTTAAGTAGTTTTATCACCAGTGCATTTTCAGATTTTCTTGTGATGCTTGTCATAGTCTTTGCTGTAATTGTTTTCTTATGTTTTGATTATATTTACATTAATTTTACAAATATACAATGCCTGAAGAGCTTTCAGCAAAAGGACAACTAATGTAGAAATAAATAAATGACTGTGATGCCAAAGTTACTGATTTGTTTAAAGTATAATTATGATTTCTATATGATAAAATATTTATAATCCAGACTACTGAAAGGAAGCAGAAAAATCCCATGGTTGCAATACTATGATTCAGAGCACTTTGGAAAAATAATTAACTTTTTTGGTGTTAAGATATATTTCTTAGAAGTTGTGCAAACATCTGAAGGTGCTCTCCACTCGAAGGATCAAAAAACAAACTAATGACATCTTTTAAAAATAAAGATTTACAAAATGTTGCTTCAGTACTGATAAGATCCCAAGTTCAACCTAGTCAACATCTTATGGACTGTGATATTTTTCTATACGCTGTCATGTAAACACTTATTCAGTGTGCTTTCTAGTCACATCCCTTCTCTATCCCTTTTCTTACATGGACTACATCAGCTGGCAGTGATCAGAAGAATTTGCTACAAAAATCTCCATCCATCATTAATACATGTATACCCTTCTGTGCATTTAAAGTAAGTTGTTTGAAGACCAAAACTGGCTGAAAAGTGGAGTCCGCTCTACTGAACTGGCTGTGTCCTTCATTCACGTCCCACTTGTGCAATGTTTTACACAACACAGCTACTCCAGTTTAATTGTTGCACTTCAATTCATGGTATTTCACTGGTTCAATCTCATCTTGTCCCTGACTGGCTTTTGCCAATCTCATTGGCATCCTAATAAGAGCTTGAGATACTAACCCCTTTTCTAGAATCACGAAAGACCCATGTATCTGAGTTCTCACTAATTATAAAAACTTTTTGCCAAATACCTTATCTAAGCCAGCAGTTCCACGAAGGAAGAAATTCCATTCAACATCTGTAAGTTCTTCTTTCTGCCGCATGATCTCAATACACAGCATAAAGCTGAAAATGAGTTTGTGCTGTTCAAAAAGGCCCCGGGAAACATTGGTATAAGTGGCATAGAGTGTCTGACTAAGAAGTATGGCCAACCGCAATTCCAAAACATCATTTTTTTCAGAAGCTTCAATAGTTGTGTTAAACAGCTGAAAGGAGAAAAAATATTTATTGCACGGTCCATCGCTATCACTGGACTAGTTCACACATGCATACAGATTGCCTGATTTTTCAGCACTTTATCACCCAACACTAGTTAATACAATTTATTTTCTGAAGAATCTGAAATGAAAAGCGTTCTGTTTGAGGGAAACTGGGAACAAGTGCCCTAGTTCTGACTTCTCACAACCCCTTTTTTCCTCCAGGTATGGCCAATAGCCAATATTTGCAATGGGAACCTTTTCTGCTTTATGTGTACAATCCCTGCACAATTTACAACCCTGATATTCCAAGCTAAGTAACAACAGGGTCCTACATGAGGGTGGAAGCCTACACGTTCATCCCTGTTGTAGGTCTTCCCCTTGAAACACATGGAAGACCATAGGGCTATTCATAAGGAGGTGGAACAAGGAATGGAGCTCACTAGCTCACCCCCACATGTTGTTGTTGTTAGTCGCGAAGTCGTGTTCGACCCATCAAGACCCCATGGACAACTTTCCTCCAGGCCTTCCTGTCCTCCACCAGCCCCCGGAGTCCACTCAAGCTCACGCCGACTGCTTCAGTGACTCCATCTAGCCACCTCATCCTCTGCCGTCCCCTTCTTCTTTTGCCATCTATTGTTCCCAGCATTAGGCTCTTCTCCAAGGAGTCCTTCCTTCTCATTAGGTGGCCAAAGTATTTGAGTTTCATCTTCACTATCTGGCCTTCCAAAGAGCACTCAGGGTTGACCTCCTCTAGGACTGATCGGTTTGATAGCCTTGCAGTCCAAGGGACTCATAGGAGTCTCCTCCAGCACAATTCAAAGCCCTCAATCCTTTTGCACTCAGCCATTCCTTATGGTCCAGCTTTCACAGCCACATACACACCATCTAATGGTATGGGGATCTGAACATGCCTGCATGACTAACCCACTCGTTGACCCCATGTGTTTTAACCTACATGGCTTTGGACCACAATACCTGACAGAATACCATTCCCATCAACCATCTACCCAGACACTACATTCAATATCTGGGGCCTGCCTCCATATGGAAATCAATATCCATCTCCAGGGGAAGGTGGAAACAAGGAGAAGTTCTTTCCCCTGAGTTATGGAAAGAACTTCTCACTGAGGTCAACCTTACTATTTTTTGGTGTCAGGTAAAGACTGTCCTCTACTGCAGGGCATCTGATTAGTTTACTGGGGCTTGTTAGTTAGCTAAACAGGTTCTAAGATTTTCTTTAAGTTATGGTCTTAAATTTGTAAACCACCCAGAGAGCCTTTGGCATTGGGGTGTGGGGGATAAAAGGGAAATAAATAATAAATAACTCTGTCCAAAAGACAATATTAGGGTTTGTTTGTTTTTTTATACATGTATTTATAGGCCACTTATAACTGCCGAGGCCTTCCTAGGTGGCGTACAATACAAGTTCTTGGCAACAATTCAGTTCCATAATTTCTACTAAAATTTAACTTTTTAGTATGTTGAACACAAATCATATCATTCAGAGAAAACTGAAGCCTTGAGGTTTTGCTTTAATAAGTATTGTGCTCCCTGTCTGAAAGGTCATCTTCAAAAACAATGAAAAGGATAAACGGAAATGTAAGAATTGGATTTTGCAAGGTCACAGTTATTAAGTTATATCTTGGCTAGCAACCAGTAAGGTTTAAGAAGGAACATTGGAAGGGTGAAATCATGCAATAAAAAGTAGAAGTTTATTTAAGAGAGGAATGTTAATTTGTGCAGAGATTAAACTTATCAATTTGGGAGGAATTGAAAGGTGATATATATGTTAGAGGTGATGCTGCAAAATAAAATGATGAACTGCTGCTTGAAGTAAACAAGTTTGTTTCCATGACAAGGTTCATCCAACAATCATTATATGCTCCCTGGCACCTTGTGCTAAATATTTCGTTTTTGATGATTATGTATTTTTGTATTTATTTTCATTTTTATACTATCCAATAACTGAAGCTCACTGAGAGGTTTACAATAGTTCCTCATGAGCTGGTAAACATCCTGCTGAGCATGGCAAAATCTGTATTGACAAGGGAGTGGTCCCATTCAACATTCACTTAGCATGTGAACTTCTGAAACTGCAAAAATACCCAACCTCCTTCTAGTTCTAATCTAATCAAAGCCCTACTGTTCCAGCTACTCAACTGACCAATGAGAACTCTGAGCACTAGAAGACACTGTACTCCAAATCAGACCACGAGTTCATATTCTGCCCTTTGATGCTCTTTCGGGTACTTTAAATGAGCGCTCACAATCTGAATGGACACTATGACCAACATCTGAGGCCTTCCTCCAAGTGCCACCTCCAAGGGAGACTCAGAAGATGACAATAAAGGGAAAGGTCTTCTCCATGGCAGCCCCTGATAATGGGATGATGTCCCCACTGAGGTCCACTGAGGATATTTCTCTGTGCCAAGAGATTTAAAAGATGTCTAAAGAACCTAATGGCTACATGGGGTGCTCATGTCTCACAGGTCTATTTCTTTTACATCTCTGTTCTCTATTAAATACTGTTTTAGCTGCCACATTGTTTTAAATTTAATTGTTTTAAATTTTTAAAATTGTTTTAAGATTCTGATTATGGAAAAATATTTACCACTTTCTCCCCTAGGATGTTTTTGGAATAAGTTTGCCCATGGTCTCTCCTCTGCTCATCCAGAGTGAGAAAAGATCGTGAAGAAAGTATTGCCTTCACTTTGAATTGGCTATATTTACTATCAATGAAGTTTCCTCAGTGCTAAATCTGAGCAGTAATTTGTCATTGTGACATTGTAATTTGGTTTCACAATGGGATTATGTTGTGAGGAAGAAGTCTCAAGGGAAAATAAATAAGATATCACTAAAAGAGGCTGCTTAGAGGAGCAGTGAACTGGGAAAGCTAAAATAAACAAACCCTGATATTGCCTCTCTCCCATCTTCTTTTTCTCCTCCAGTAGACTTAGTTGAGACCTTGGAACCACAGTCCTTTTACTAAAGTTTAATAAAAAGTTTAATAAACTTTAACAAGCCATAAAATAGCAAAAATCAAAACAATGTCCTCTTTGAGATGTGGGAAAAGTTCCTGCTCATGTAAAGAGCTGATTCCAAACCAAAACATCTTTTCCTTCTTTCCCTCTCAGAAAAGAGTCTGACTCCATCCTCAGGGTAGCTCCTGCTATTTGAGGACTAGACAGCAGGAACATCAAAAACCACTTATTTGGTCTGCTTGCTTTGCCTGTCATCTCCTGACAGGGTCAAGGAACCTCAATCTCCTTCCCACCAGTTCTGAAATGTCTCCCTCCTTTTCCAAGGCAGGCTGGTTCTTATATTCTGTCTGGGAATCTTCACTAGGTAACCTTGAAACTGCCAAGTCATCTGGCCACCCTCACTCACAGCTCACACTAACAGGGCCTGACTAATAGGCCAAAACAGGGCCAACAGTAAGGTAACTAATAAAGATTAGCACTTCTTCATGTATTTGTATTTAGATTTATCTATATACATGAATACTACTACAACTTTGCTTCCCTCAGCCATCTTCATATTTTTCCCCCAATTTATATCCTGCCTTTTTCCTACAAAGGGCTCAAGGAAGCTTACATCATTCTCCTCCTCCATCTTATCCCCACAACAACAACCCAGTGAGGTAGGTTGGGCTGAGAGTCTGTGAGTGGCCCGAAGTCACCCAGTTGGCTCCTTGGCTGAGCAGAGACTAGAACCCAGATTGCCTGAGTCCCAGTCCCATGCTCTTAACCACTACACAACACTAGCTCTCCAGTGACTATCCTATCTACCTTCTGCTAGTGTATTTGAAAAACTAGCAGAAGGTAGATAGGATAGTCAATTGCCCTGCAGTCTTGAAGCTGACTCTGGGTAGCAGCTTAGCATCCTGCAAGCCTCCTTACTGTTGAAAACAAATTATGCTGCAATTTGTAGGCTGCTGTGAACCATGAACATCTATTGAAATGATAAAATGACAACAAAACTTATAATAGTTTGAATCCCTGTTGTGCAGTGTAGCTAGCTGGCTACTGAACAATATCACAAGATTGTGCCCAAACTGAGGACATAAAGTTAGAACTCTTTTAAAAGGTCGGTTTGCAAATAGTTCAGATTTATTCACTATAAAGCAAGAAATGAAATTGATTACTTTTTCAAGTAATAAAAATAACCCCCAATTTGGAATAAGGGTCCTTGAAGCACTAAAAAAACCTACAGTGCTTTTCATTCCAAGCCAGTTGGCAAACCATTACCAAAACTGAGTTGTGCTTTAAATGAAATTCATTATATGCCATGTGTGAGTGGGTATTCTTCAAGGAAAAACAAAAGTAACCACTGGCTTTCTAAAGTAGCTCTTTAAATCTAAGACATTGATCAGGTTTATAGCTGTATGGAAGGTTGCTGCCTCGGGACTATATGATTGCTTGCTACTTGGAGAATGCACATTTGAAATTTCAGGGAGGGGGAGAGAGAGAAAGAGAAAATGATCCAAACCTGTTTGAAATACTTTAAGGAAAACTGATACATTGGATCTATCTCTGACAAACTAGCAATCACAAAATACATAACAGATCCTCGAGTGGCAACAGGACGATATTTTTCACGGGCTGCATTTATCTTTTCTTCTGTAGTTTCTGCTTCTACAAGCCTTACTTTAATGGCACCAGATGTAACCTAAAACATGAATTTCACAAAATCAATATGAACGTGAGCACCCAAAACATCTGGAACAAATCTCTTACATACAGAAAGGAAAATTGTTGTACTATTTGGAAATACAGGAATAACAGAATACTTAAACATTTCTTAACACTTTCAAGTGTTCAAAGGCACTTCACATGTATTAGCTTGTTGTAACCCTTACAACAATCTTGCATCTGGCTTGTCACTTGCATTTTATGCCAAAATGTTTCATATTCTAAAATCTATTGTTTTTTATTCTAATTATTTAAAACTGGATGTGTGACTGCTGGTTGTGGATTGTGGTTTTGAGTGACATGCCATCCACATAATACAGCCTATATATTGATTGCCTAAGACCACCTAGTGAGCTGAGGTATAGTGACTGAGGTAAGATTCAGATCAGGAACTTCCTGATTCATAGCTTAGTTTCTTAGTCACTAAGCTACAACAATTATCATAAGGAATTTTTATAATGAATCAATCCAAAGATATAAGCATTTCCAAAGATAGTAACATTCTAAACAATTTGGACCTGGAATACCCAAGACACTCTCTCTACTGGTATGTTCTACAAGATCAGCTAGGAACATTCTCTTAAGTAGACAACCAAATCAGCTCTATATGTAAAAACAGGTACTATTTTCACACTGGATTTTGTGCTCAGAGCTGGGGGCAGAATAATTAGCATAGTCCATGCCCTGAACCTTTGGGATTGGGCAGACCACAGAAATAAGAATCTAAGAAAGAAGACTAAGAAGAAAAAAGAGGAAAGGGGGATGGAATGGAATAGTCTTTAAGAAAAAGAAATAAAGATTGTAGGTTTACAGAGTTCAGACTGTAAGTATCTTCGCTTATGTAGCCAAAAGGACACACACACACACACACAAACTTGAGTGTGAAAAAAGCATTAAGGAGACCCTAGAACAGCCAAATGTGGACTGAGCATATTCACAGAATACTGGCTCCTGGGGAAGGGCGAGTGGGATGGAGTGGTGAACAAGAAGCACTCTATAATGCATCATTGTTATAAGTTCCACTTATCTGATAGGCTAATAGCAAGCTCAGTTATCTGAGTGTCACTCCATTTGCAGTCAAAACTACACCATTTACACACACACGTGGGGGGGTTCAATATACCTGGGGGAAAAGCAGGTTGCTTACCTGTACCTGATTGTTCTTCGAGTGGCCATCTGTGCAGTCACACATATGGGTGCTGCGCTTGCGCAGTGCCTTTGGCCGGAAGATTGCCAGCTAACGGTTTTTGGCGGGAAGCTCCGCTCCCTCTCCCCCCGTGGCCTATAAAGAGCGGAGCGTCCATTTTGTTCAGTCTTTGACGACTGAATGTGCGCCCCCTCATGGAAAAATTTGTAATTAGAGGTAGGGAAAAAGAGGGTCGGTACCAGAAAAAAGGGAAGCTTTGGTACTGATAGATGTGTCCACTCACCAACACCGAGCGGGGCCGGCGGGTGGGTTGTGTGACTGCACAGATGGCCACTCGAAGAACATCAGTTACAGGTAAGCAACCTGCTTTTCTTCGTTGCGGCCTCTGTGCATCACACATATGGGTAGATTAACAAGCTTACCATAAAGGAGGAGGGAAGGTGTCCTCAGTGAAGAACAGACGAAAGAACGGCTCTGCCAAAGGAGCAATCCCGTTGAGCCCGAACAGCGAGACGGTAATGTCTGGCGAAGGTGCAAGGGTTCGCCCAAGTGGCAGCTCGGCATACATCATCAAGTGAGACCCCAGATGCAAAGGCAGTTGAGGTTGCAAAGGCCCTAGTGGAATGGCCTCAAGGGACTGTAGGCAAATTGATCTTAGCTAGTTGATAAGATAAGGTTATAGTGTGGACTATCCATTTGGAAAGTCTCTGTGGCGTGACTGGATCGCCCTGATCTCTAGTGGAATACTGAACGAACAGTCTATCTGAATGTCGAACAGACTCAGTCCTTGATCTGTAAAAGGCTAAGCAAAGCCGAACATCAAGTGAATGCAAAGATCTCTCCAGTGGAGTCGACGGTGAAAGAAAAAAGGCAGGTAACACAATATCTTGCCCCATATGAAAAGGCGTAGTCACTTTGGGCAGAAAAGACGGGTTGAGGCGTAAAACAACCTTCTCCCTGTGAAAGTTCAAATAAGGAGGGTCTATGCGGAGAGCGCAAAGTTCACTGGCCCTTCGGGCTGAAGTGACTGCCACGAGAAACGCTGTCTTCCATGAAACCAGGTGCAAATCCACTGTTGCCAATGGTTCAAAGGGGGCTTTCGTAAGGGCTTGTAGAACGACAGAAAGACTCCAGCTAGGCATTACTGGTCTGATTGATCGGTTAAGATTATATAGTCCCTTAAGAAATCTCTTGACAATAGGTTGAGAAAAGAGAGGTGATCCATCAACTAAGCCACGATAGTAGGCTATCACTGCCGTATATACTTCAATAGACGACAGCTTTAATCCAGAATGGTGCAGTTCTAATAGGAACTGAAGGATTTGATGTATAGATGACATGAATGGAGAGAACGAACGAGACTCGGCAAAGGTGGAAAACTGTTTCCATTTAGCCGCGTATGATTTCCTTGTGGATGGCTTTAAGGCAGAATCGATGATATATTGGATATCGAATTCGACGGGTCGTGTCTTGAATCCAATGGTATGGAATGAACAAAGGAAGAAGAAGAGGAAGCACCAGAGTGATTGGGTTCGACGACTGGATTTGATTCAGTTGAAGTTGTCGTCGGTACCGGGGAGACAATGGTAGTCATCGGATTCACCATGCTGTTAGGTTCAAGGAGAGCAAGTCTGGGTGGCGAAGCATACCATCCTGTTGGGTTATAAGGTATGGAAGTGATGGTAGATGAAGATATTCCCCATGAGAGATGTCAAGTAGTGTCGCAAACCAAACTTGGTGTGGCCACCAAGGGGCAACTAGTATCCCCTATTCTCGGTCCTGCACTATTTTCACTATGACCCGCATCATAAGAGGGATCGGGGGGAAGGCATAAAAAATAATGTTGTTCCATGGGATCATGAAAGTGTCCCCTAAGGATGCGTGTCCGATTCCCGCTCTCGAGCAGTAAGCATTGCACACCCTGTTCTGTTGGGTGGCGAGTAAGTCCATGTCGGGAAACCCCTAGTGCTGCAAAAGATGGTTGCATATGCGAGGATCTAGCTCCCATTCGTGAGAGGTGAACATGTGCCTGCTGAGAAGGTCTGCCTGCACATTGTCCGCACCAGCGAGGTGAACAGCCATCAGCGTGATGTCTCTCGGAATGCACCAGTCCCAAGTTTTCATGGAAAGTCTGGCCAGAGTCGGTGACTTCGTTCCCCCCTGCTTGTTCAGATAGAAGACGGTAGCTACATTGTCCGAAGTTATCTGAACAACCCGATGTTGAAGAATGTCCTCGAAAGAGCGCAGGGCTTTGAATACTGCCAATAGCTCCAGGAAGTTGATATGATTCGTGGATTCTCCATGATTCCACGTGCCTTGGGTATATAGGCCGGAGCATATCGCTCCCCATGCCAGAAGAGATGCGTCGGTAACGAGGGTTATCGAAGGAGGCCGTACCCTGAAGGGGACTCCAACAGTCAGATTGGCTGGTACTGACCACCAAAGTAGAGAATGGAGTACGGAAGATGGGATATGAATCAACTTCGACAGTGGGTCTCTCTGAGGATGGTACACCTTGTTGAAGAGAAGTTGTAGCGGACGGAGCCGAAGCCTGGCATGCGGAACTACAGCAACTGAGGAAGCCATATGCCCCAGGATCCTCTGAATGGACTTCGCTGGGACTGTCCCGTCTTGTCGCATTCCATGGATGTGGCGAGCAAGAGTCTGTTGTCTATCCCAAGGAAGGAAGGCTTTCTCCAATGTCGAATCCAAGCGGGCTCCAATGAAGGTAAGCGTCTGCGTCGGAAGAAGAGAAGATTTCTCGGTATTAATGCGTAGGCCCAGGTCATTCATTAAGGCACAGGTTGTACGGATAGACGCAAGGAGTCCCGCCCTAGACTGGGACACTAGCAGCCAGTCGTCGAGGTACAGGTAGGAAAGCGCAGACAGGGGCCATACATTTGGTGAATACCCTCGGAGCCGTGGCCAGTCCAAAAGGCAAAACTGTAAACTCATAGAGATGGGGTGCAAGAGCAAAACGAAGGAAACGCCTATAACTTGGGTGGATCGAAATGTAGAAATAGGCGTCCTTCAAGTCCAATGAGGTGAACCAATCCTCTTTCCTTAGTGACAGCAAGATGTTTTGAAGGGTGGTCATCTGAAACTTTTTCGATACAATAAATCGATTCAGGCTACGTAAGTCCAAAATCGGACGTAAACTACCATCCCGCTTCGGGACTGTAAAGTATCTGGAATAGAATCCGTGAAGTCCATCAGATGGGAATACTTGACAAATCGCTCCTTTACGAAGAAGCTGATATATTTCATTGAGCAATACCGGTGAACAGGATGTAAACCAGATCGGACTCGATGGAGGAACGATGTCGAATTCTATCCGATAGCCGTGCTGAACGATGGACAATACCCACCGATCAGATGTGATGGACTCCCAAATGGGGAGTCGGCTTCGGAGCCGATCCCCAGATGAGAGGGGGGTGGGTATAGAAGGAATTGGAGGAATGGTTCGCCAGTCCTGTCAACACTGCCTCCTGTCATCGAAACGGCGGCGGCCTTGTTGATAGCCTTGTTGGGGCTGCGGACGGCGGTGCTGCTGTTGCTGCTGCTGACGGTGCTGGGGTTGTTGTCTTGGCTGGTAGGACTGCCTGTAAGATGGGTGATTCCATGACCACTTACGTCTGGTCTGGGTCTGTATCTCCATCCTGCGTGCTGTCATCCGGGATTCGTGCAGCTTTTTTAGTTTGTGGTTGGTGCGGGAGTGGAAAAGCCGGAGCCGTCAAAGGGCATTTCCTCTATACGGCGCTTGGTTTCCTCCAGAAAGTTGCAGTTTCTAAGCCAGGCGTGTCTCCGGAGTGAAACGGCACCAACCAAGGCCCTTGAGTCTGTGTCCACATGGTGCCTGGCCGTGGACAACTGTTGAACAGCGACATGCATTGCCTCCTTGATAAGGACCTTAGCCAGGTCACCCTGGTGGTCCAGGAGGGTCGAGGCGATGTTGTGGAGGCGCTGCATGATGAAGTACTGGTACCTCGCCAACGTCGCCTCATAATTTGAGATCTACAGCCCCAGGCCTGAAGCAGCGTAGACTTGCCTAGCCAGGGAGTCGATCTTTCGGCCCTCCTTGTCTCGTGGTGCCGTATACCCTCTTGCCTCTCTGCCCTGGGAGGACTCTACTACGACCAAGTTCGGCTTGGGGTGGCGGAGGAGGAAGGGGATGTCCTCCTCCCGAACCTGGTACATAGATTCGTACCTCCTGGACGTGGGTTGAGGGTGAGAGGGCAAGTCCCAGGGCTGCGTCATTGCTTGCCGAAGAGTGGTTATGAGTGGCAGGACGATCCATGTCGACTGCTCTCCGCGGATGACGTCGTAGAACTTGTCCGTTGTCGGTCCCGGACGCTGGACGGCGTCAATGTCAAGGGACTGGACAAGTCTGGACATCAGCTCTGCAAAGGAGACGTGGGATTCATCCGGTGATGCAGGACCCTGGGATGTCACGGTGACATCTGCGGAGGTTGAATCGACCTCCGAATCGTCGGAATCAGCACCGTAGTATGGTGGAGCTGATGACAAAGATTCTGCCAGAGAAAAAGAGTGGCTGCTTCCATCCCGAGGGGATTGTGGAGATGCACGTCTCAGGTCCGAGGGACGTGGTCGGTCACGGGATGGTGGAGAGGACCGACCCCTAGGAGCAGGGTAATATCCTACAGAGAGCGGATCACCCCAGGTGTGGTAATAGGGGCAAAGCCATCCCTCCGAACGTCGCTCCACGGAGCGGCTCCTCCGGCTCCCAGGCGGGGACATCCGTACATCCACCTCCATAGTGGCCGCAAGCATGGGTGTAGGTGACCGAGCCCTAGGGGGAGAGTCCTGAATTTCCCCATCAGAAATCGAGCCCCTTTGCAGAGTTGGAAGGGGCCCAGAGGGAAGGTCGGCCATGTGGCATGGGGACCCTTGAGGGGTAACCCGCATAGCCTCCTGAAGAACTGGATTGGGTGGAGTCGGTACCGTGAGCGCCACCAGTACCAAGGGGGCCGTTGAATCTGAATCCCGGTGACAAGGACGCTCCGAGTCCTTCGGCTTTTTGGAAGGCTTGGAGACTTTCTCCTTCCTGGCCTTCTTATGGCCTGCTGACTTCTTGGGTCCGGCATGCTTCCACTTCTCATGTTTCTTTTTGGGGGAAGCAGAGGGAGCCACCGTAGCAGACGTGCCTTCATCCGAAGGGCGTGAAGGTGGAGCCACTGAAGCGGAGCCAGGCTTTGGAGCAGAAAGCAGCGGATTGGACTGCATGAGAGCCCAATCCCAAAGGAGCCTTCGGAGGCGGTTCTCGCGATTCTTACTGGCCTGCTTGGAGAAGGTCAGGCAATGGGCACATTTATCGGTCATATGTCCCTCACCCAAACAGAGGAGGCATAGGTCATGCGGGTCGGTTGGTGACATTTTTGACCCGCACTCCGCGCATTTGCGGAAAGCTGCTCGCTGCACCATCACAGAAAAAGGAAGAAGAGAGAGATAGTGCAGAGGGTAAGTGTATATTTTTGGTTTTTGGTTTTTTGTTTATAGATAGATCAAAAGAAAGTAGAATGATAGAGAAAAAACTACAGGGACTATACGAAGCAGGAATAAGGAGAAAAAAACGGGACTATAGAACTGGAACAATCGAGAAGAAAAGGCTAACAAGTAACGGTCAGAGCATAAGTCAAAAGCGGCACGAGGCACAGTGAACGGCGGTCGCAAAGACTGAACAAAATGGTGGACACTCCGCTCTTTATAGGCCGCGGGGGGAGGGGGAGCGGTGCTTCCTGCCAAAAACCATTAGCTGGCAATCTTCCGGCCAAAGGCACTGCGCAAGCGCAGCACCCATATGTGTAATGCACAGAGGCCACGATGAAGAACCCCAAGTTTTTCAGAAGTATAAAGCATCTTTTTTGAGGAGGAGTTGAAAGAGCCTGAGTGAGGGTAAAAACAGGAGCACATCACACTGCAATCTTTTGTTGTTGGTCCCACTTGTTCACTTATGCAGTATTTAGTCTGAGAACAAATAAACAAAAAAGAATTGACTCTGACTTCCTCTTTTCCATGATCCAGAAGCCATTCTGATTTGTTTATCCTTTGGGACAGTCCCTCCTCCTTAGATCAGTAGGAATTCTCCTTCAAAGAGGAGATATCCATCTTCCAGACATATACTGGAAAAGCAGGAGAACCCCTCTATCCTGATAGTAATCAGAGTGAAAAATAGAATAGTACATTAACCATGGCCAATCTTGCCATAACAGTGGGAAAGTCAATTCTTTATGAAACAGAAATAACTCAGGACAGATTAGTGGGAAGTGCTGGAAGACTCTATCTATCATCCTCACATGTATAGCAGAGCATAATTCATAATGCTGAAGACAAATTGTTCCACTTGGCCTACAGCATTAGGAAGAATGCACAAAACTCAAAATGAGAATGCAAATGTTTAAAAATATTTTCTTTCTATAATATATCACACAGATCTTACTTAAATTCTAATCCTAACAATAGGTCTTAGAAGAGCCCCACCCCCCACCCCACTTTGCAAAAATCACTTTAACGTTAGTGAGGAGTGGACAAATTTGTCTCAAAGATTTCAGTGGGTCTGCTCAAATCACAGTTGATTCCCATATTTTAAATGTCTCGTGCCTTTGATTCTTGAAGTGTGTTGATAAGTTCTTCCTTGTCCAGAATATTCCCTTCTGATGTAAAAAGCATTTTTAGAATTTTATCTTCAATGGCTTTCAGTTGATTCTTATCAGCATTGATTCTCACAATGAGCTGGGTTCTTTGTTCCTCTAGTTCAGGCCTCTCTAGTCGTACAACATCACTAGAATGAAAGTTAAAATTTATAGTTAACAAAGTGAAAGCAAGTGTCATACCTTTGAAGGTTATATTTCATAACTTCGTATTCAGTATGTCAACTAGTACTCTTACCGTCCATGTCCATGCTTCAGGAAAGAGTGTGTGTGCTTATGCATTCAAAGCAGCCATATGCTAGAGAGAGAGAAAGCCTCCATAACATTCATGGGGCTGTTTTAGTTTGCCATCAGCCCAACAGATGAAGCAAAACATACCCTTCAACTTGTTCTCTGCACTAAATTGTAAGATATGTGGACTGAAAATGCAGAGTGTGCATGTGAGTGTGTGAGTGAAGGGGGGGGGTAGTCTAAGTTACCCCATTGGCATAATCAGGCCATTTCCGGGTCAGATTTGAGCTCACAACATTAATTCCTTCTTTTGGGGGTGGGCAGCCCATGTAGATGAATCCAATGGACTTATGAATGCTCTTAGAGATTTTCCAGTGGATAGTGCCGGTGATCCACCTGAATCATTTGGAATGGTGAGGCATGGAGGGCTATTGAGTTGATTGTAACTGCCATCTCTGACACTGCAGAATCTGCACTGCTCTTTGGTATACTGGGGAACAGTGATACACAGGTTGGATGTCAGCTACAATGCAAATGGTGTAAGATTCAAAGCAAAGATGATCAAACACACACTGTTATTATTGTTGATAAAAAAATATTTCTGTACCGCCCAATAGCCAAGACTCTGAGAGGTTCACAATAATTCTCAAAAATAAAAAAATATATATTCTAAAAATGCAAATACAGATGTAGTAAGAGGCAATATAAAATTCCAGTATACACATTTTAAACAATCTAAAATTCCAATATACAAAAACATAAAATGGTTTAAAAATCTAAAACAATTTCAATAAACTTCACCTGATTAAAATAGCCAGGGTAACCCAACATGTACCATTAAATGCCATGAAATGCTTGGAAATAAAGGGTACTTTTAACCTGATGCTGAACAGATGACAAAACTAGCACCAGGCAGGACTCAGTGGGGGTGGGTTTTGTTCTAAAATACTCAGAGAACTTTGGCTGTTGGGTGGTATAGAAATTTAAAAAATGAATAAAACAGTGGAGGAGGGGCACTGAGAAGGCTTTCCTCCTTGTTGCCTCTTTCCAGGCCTGCCTTAGAGTCAGCAGGCTGAGGAAGAACCCAGTTGCAGACTGCAGGATCCAGGCTGATTGAGGTCAAGAGTGGTGTGCCATCAGATATTATGGTCTCAAGTCATGTAGGCTGAAATCAGCCCCTTGAGTTTTGCTTGGAAGTACATAGGCAGGCCAATGCAAGCAGATTAGATCTGGTGTTATATGTTCAGACTTTCTGGTCCCAGTTATACTTTGATTGCTGCCTTTCACACAAGCTGCAGCTTCTGAACAGGCTTCAAGGGCATTCCCACATGGAGTGAATTACAGTAATCTGGAGATTGCTAGGGTACAGTTTACTGAAACTAGATTATTCCTTTCCAGAGAGAGGCATAGCTGGGCCACCAGCCAAAGCTGATATAAGAAACCTCATGCTACTGAGGCCATCTGAGCCTCAAGAGACAAAGATGGATCAAGGAGCACCCCTAGCTATGAATCTGCTCTTTTAAGAGGACTACAAACTAGTTGAACACCCACCAGCTGGTCAGAGGAACCACCCACCAACAACATCTCCGACTTGATTGAACTGAGCTTTAGCTAATTAGCCCTCATTGAGTTTACTGTTGCAGCCAGGTACCAGTTTAGCAAATCAATAGCCTCACCTGATGCGGGTGAAAAGGGGTAGTAGATCTGTGCCTCAGCATATTGATCACAACACTCTCCAGAACTCCTGATGACCCCACTCAGTGGTTTCATGTAGATGTTCACTAACACAGGGGATAGGACCAATCGCCAAGGAACCTGGGGCATGGGACTGAGCAATAATCCCTAAGTACCACGCTCTGGAGCTGGCCATCCAAACAGGAATGGGACCACTGCAATGCAGTATTGCTCACTCCCAGCTCAGACAGGAGCTCCAGAAGGATACCATGGTCAATGATATTGAAAGCTACTGCAAGAACCAGGAGTATCTGCAGGGCTGCAGTACTCCTGTCTCTACAGCATGTAACTGTGCCTATTGTGAAGTGGTGTGACAATCAAATAAGCTATTTTGCTCTCTTTCCTGCATCCTCAAGCAGCTGTTTGGCAGAGCTGTTCTGGGTGGGTGGGCTGATAACACTTTCCATAGCAAATAGGGCTTTGGCTGCCTCAAAGACCTTTTGTAATTTTTACACATGCTACTCTGAGACCAAAACAGCTTGTCTCTACAGCAAACTTGCTGTTGTTAGAAGAGCTTTAGCTGAGGTACCTGATACAACATCTGCTTGATTTTGTGGGATCAGTCTCATTTGCTGTGGCCTGATGATGTGGACAAGGTGCTTTTAGCAATGCAACCAGCCATCTGCCAGCCCAATCCTTGCTCTTCTTAGCTAAAACAAAAGCTAGCTGAAGGGTTATGACTGGGTGGAGCTAGGGAGTAATAAATGTATCTGTGTGAAAGCATATGCCTTAAGGAGGGAGTAGTGCAATTATTCCTGAAAAAACATACTCCTGACCCAACAGTATTTAACTACTGCTGTACTGGTGCAAATGCCCCCTTTCTTAGAAAAGGTATTTGAAAAGGGTTGTGACAGAGTCAAAGCATTCTTGGACATCCTGATGGATAACCTTTCTTGGGAGAGGTACCAGAGGAGTAGAGCCCTGTTATTTATATTATTATTACTATTATTATTATTGCTGCTTTTGATACCATCTGCCATGCTATCCTCCTGGATGAACTCTGAACTATAGTAATACCAGCATCATCACACTTTATCTCACATCATGTTATTTATTTGTAAGCCAAAGGTCATAAATAAAACATATAAAAGTTACAAAATGTGTAGCAGAAATAAAACATTAAGAAAAAAGGGCACAGTGAATATGAACTAAAATACATCTAGAACTTTACACCAAAGATTTGTGTTTACACTTGATTGGGACAGCTGTTAGAGCTTTAGCTCAAATTTTGGGGGCAACTAAGTAAAAAAACATAGCTTGTTAAATCACTTGACCAATCAGTAGGTAACATGAATTTCTTAAAACATAGTCAGTTTCAACCCAGATGAATATTCCCTTCAAATTTTGAATTCCGTTTTCTCTTCAGATTGTATAAATCTTTTGCCTTCTATATATATATCTAAACACATGCATAATCATCACTATAACTATTTTATTACTGTTTAAACATTTGTAAGATGCCTTGATTGAATTTTAGAAAGATGAGGTACAAATGTCAGAAACAGATAAAGTCATTATTCTTTTAAAAGGATATATTTGAGTTCATTGGATATATTTTAATATATATATTTAATTTAAAAGCTTGTCTGAACAACTGCTGAAATCATAAGATTTCTGATCAAGCTTGTTTAGCCTACATACTTTAGATGTCTATTCCAATTCACATTCAGCTGAATAAAGTTAGAATTGCTCATGGAGAAGTATGAACTCTTCCAAGTTACATCTAGTTCATGACACTGAATTAGAATTACAGACCCAGCAGGCATATCTACCAAGCATGTTATGATAACACGTTATATATGCGGTGAACTGACTTAACTAGAGTTCCTCAAAGAAGCAAGTTACTCAGCCCACTTGTACTGAAATGTCTGTTTTCCCCCCTAATGCATGCATGATCCCACAGCTGGAGGTCTCTTGGCAAATTCACTATGTTTCTTTAATGTAAACAATATTATGCATTCAACACCCACTGAAAGCCGGTCACTGATTTGGAAATCCAACCTCCTAGGTAGAACACAGCAAACATCTACAAAATTATTCAGTGTCTTGCATAACTCTTTCCACAAATAACATTTAGGAAACTGTATTTTAACAATGAAGCGAATGTCTCCCAAACATCTAACAGCTGAGCTATGCTACTCTTTCTGAACTAATATTGGAAGCACATTTCACATATATTGCTGAACACAAATCCACCTCGTATTTTTACACTTCCAGATCATGAGGGGCAAGCCCAGAATAGTGACTCATACAGACATGCTATCAAAATTCTAGCCAGGATGCAGAGGCCTTTGCAGAAATAAAGATGGTGCTTGAGGGTGACATTTTGCTTTGCCGGATACCATTGTCCCGCTTAAACTTGCTTATTAAAAGCTTTTACGAGGGGGGACCCAAAAGACACCGGAATCATTCTCTAGTGGGCAAGCCCATCATAGCACATGCTTCCTCTGCTAGATGCCTCTTGCGGGGACCCTTCTGCATCAGCCTGCTGACCGGTGTCATTGAGTCATGGTGCCATGCAGTATTTTTTTTTTTTTTTGTTAAGCGCCTCTCACTTGTCGATTTTTGTGATGGCTGTTTTCAGGTATCACATCGTGAGAGGCACTTAACAAAATGGCTGTTTTCAGCCATCATAAAATCGACAAACAAGCGAGAGGCGCTTAACAAAAAAATTTACTATGTGGCATCACAACTTCACTTGCTGACGCCAGTCGGCAGGCTGATGCAGAAGGATCCCCTCAAGAGGCATCTAGTGACGGAAGCATGTACTATGATGGGCTCGCCCACCAGAGATTGATTCCAGTTTCTTTTGGGTCTCCCCCCGCTCATATCCTGCCCCCCTTGTATATCCTGTCCTTCACTGAAAGTCTCAGGACAGTAATACAGTAAAAGCACAGCATCGAACATCAATTAGCAACAATAAAACCCATCTTTAAAATAACATAAAAGTTTTCAATTAGCAATAATTTCTTTTAAAGGATTTAAAAAGAATTTAAATTAAATCATATTTCATTTAAAATGTTAAATTAAAATAAGAAGTGGCAGGGACCTTGGTACATACCAAGACTGGCCTCAGCAGGCACATTGCTGCCCCATGGAGGCCCCAGGTTTACAAGGCATGGCCCTTCACATACTGTATGCTGAAGACATTTTAAGAAGAAAATCTTGCATATTTTGCAGAAGAATTAAAAACAGCAATACCTTAGCAATTGGTCTTCCAAGCCAGATCTGGTGACAGTGAAATTGATTATTGTTACTTTGATACACACCTGTAGAAGAAACGTAAGAGGAAGGGGTATTACATGTCAAAATAAATCTTATATGAAAACATAATGCAAATTTCATTCAAAATCAGTTGAACTGTATACTCCCCTAAATATATATCCCTACATATTTTTGGTGCAATGACATTTTATAGGCCTGGTATCCATTCCCATATTCTTTTTAATTTTTGGAAAGATACAAAATGTTTGAAAGTAAGAGATTTACTTTACAATCATATGAATTGTTACTGAGCAGTAAGTCTCAGTAAGCTCTGGAAGATTGAAATGTTGTTACCAATGCTTTAAAATGCACCTACTCATATTCTTTAGCTCATTGCCAAACCAACCAAGCTAATGTAATTTGATGGGGCTTGACATTCAAAGAGTACTAACAATGTTCTTACTAGGTTCAGCTGTAGTTATGTTGCTTATTAATTCTGAAAAGTCATGCAGCAACTATGAACTGGAATGGATTTCTGTATCTCACAGCAGGGCTGTGAAACATTAATAAATACTGTCTCAAAGTGTTACTGAATTGTTTAGACATCTTAAGTTATAGTCATATCATATTATACTGACATGATTGCATCAAAAACTTCAGGTTTCTGCCTTTCTCGCCGACATAAGACAACACTTTCTCTTGTTGAGATGTCATGTTATGCATTTCCCTGCCATACTCCAAATCATTACCTACCATTGCTACTAGTAGGGGCAGTAAAATGTACATGCTGGTACCATACAACAATTCTGACACATTACAGAATTCAACATAGGGTGCCATTTTTATCAGCATTCTCATATCCATGCAATATAGAACTGTGATCTGACCTCTAAAATACCCAGAGAAGGTCTTTAAAGTGTTTTGTTACTCTTTGTTTATTAAATGTGTTTATCTTCTTTCTGTCAAAGGGTACTCACTGTTGCTAATTATAATAAAATGAACATCTAAAAGATTTTCAATTAAAATCTAGCATAAAAACAAATGAATTAAAATGTAATTAAAAACACAAAAACAGATGAAATAAATACAGTACACCAGTGAAGAACATCAGAAGAGACATACTGGATCAAACCAAGAGTCCTGTTCACACAGCAGCCAACCAGCTGCCTATAGGAAGCCCACATGCAGGATCTGAGTTGGTATCATTTTACATTAGGCATTCCAAATTTTATTCAGCTTCTCTGCAATCTCCTTATACAACTTTAGTTTGCCTCTAGTTACAACCATTAGTACTCATTAAAACCCATTTCAGCAACTAACCAGCATACATGACGAAGGCCCATCTTGGATGATGGAAGTATAGATGCAAATTTTTATTCTGCTAAGAAGCTCAATTAAGTGGTCCTTGACAAGTTTGCAACCACATTTAGACAATTATGGTTGTCTGCAACATGTGTTGACTACCCATTTGAATATCCAAGCCATGGCAAGCAGGCATTATGGCTTGTCATACTGTGTGAACCTGGTAAGGTAGCTTATGTGAAGGTTAAACAATCCTTGAATAATCTATGGGCTGTTTTGGGTTATGTGAGTGTTGTTAGCCCTCACATAAGCCACCCTCACTGAATTCACACAGTGCAACAAGCCACAGTGACTGCTCACCACAGCTTAAACATTTAAATAAGCCATGATGAACTGCAGTGATTCAGTCAACCCAGTCGCTATCTATGTTATGGGACACCTGGTTGTGAATATGTGATGTGACCCTAGAAATGCTGGGTCGCTTTAGTGGAGACCACTCCATCCAATGCCAAGGAATTTTCTGATATAAAGCAAGCATTTTTGAGGACAAAAATGAAGGGACGTACTCTATGACACTGATTAAATGGGGGCTGAGATCATCCTATGCAACTGGTGCCTTCCACTTGCAGGAGCAGACAGTTTCCCCCTGAGACTAATCCTTGCCCATCTGTATTGTTCCAGAGAACATAATGGAAGCCACTGAGGCTCAAGTCTATGTCACTGTCTATGGCTTCCTACTGTTTTCATTTCTTAGGGACAGTAGAGTGTACAAATGCGTAAAGGTAAAGGTTTCCCCTTGACATGAAGTCCAGTCATGCCTGACTCTAGGGGGCGGTGCTCATCTCCATTTCCTAGCCAAGGGAGCCAGCATTTGTCTGCAGACCGTCTCCGTGGTCATGTGGCCAGCATGTCTAAACACTGAAGCGCACGGAACGCTGTTACCTGCCCACTGAAGTGGTACCTTTTTATCTACTTGTATTTGCATGCTTTCGAACTGCAAGGTTGGCAGAAGCTGGGACAGAGCAATGGGAACTCACCCTGTTGTGCAGATTCGAACCGGCGACCTTTTGATCAACCCGCCCAGCGGCACAGTGGTTTAAACCACTGCGCCACCTGCAGTCCCTATACAAATGCATAAGACCCAGTATACTGGCGTTGTATGTATGACTATGTTGATGTACTGGCATATAACAACTGATGAGCTTGTCACTCTGTTTAATATGCATTGTTTGGCCTTAGCCCTCAAATTGTCCTCGCTTTTCCCCCACTGGTTTTGTTAAAAATATTAGCAGATGCACTAGCAAATTTATACAAAATCTACACAATATCTCATGAATACAACTTTTCCCCACCATACGTGAAATGATTGGAGGGATTTTAATGAAGAAAAAGCAGAAAATGCATACACAAGTGACAGCATAATTTTGGAAAGGTAAACATGCCTCCTTTGAAACTCCTGCAATGCAATCCTAGCCATATTTACTCATAAATAAGCCAAACCTAGTTCATTGGGGCTTACTTCCAGGTGCATAGATCTTTAGCCTTAGTGGAGACTGCCTATTTGGCATACATCATAAGCATATCATTATACCTCAGGTAAGTAGTGTGGATTTGGCATTTTTGTTGTCATGTAGAACCTGAAGTTTTTGTCATAATCTATGTCAGAATCTCCAAGGCGAATGAGTAGTCTTCCACCAGAAACAAATGTTTGTTTCAAAAGAATGGGTTCCAGAGCTGGGTCAAGTGTTTCTTTAAGCTATTAAAAGAGGAAAAGATATACGATGCATTTTACATACTGTGTTTAGCAAAAATACTTCAGTTAAAGTTATAACCACCTGTTGTGTATAATAACAATGTTATTCTCTTGTGAGTCTCCTTTTTCATAAAAGGAAACATGATTTTTTAATTTTTCATTGCATAGCCAGGCCTACAGACAGGATCAAAAGAACTGTGACTAGGAGAAAAATAGTTCCTAAAACTATTCTACAAATACATGTACAAGAGCTTGCCCAGCCCTGTAAGATATAAATTCCATAGTAGTTCTTAGCTGGATTTAGTTTCATATTTCTTCATATGCACTGGTGTAAAGTACTCTTCCATGAATGGAAGACTCCTTTCACATGCAAAAGCCATGGAGTTTAGTGTCTAGTCACTATTTTATTATGAGTCAGAAGACTTGGGTTGTACTCTTCACTCATCAGTGCAGCTCACTGAGTGACTTTAGGTCAGTCTCTGGACCTGTTTAGATGATCAAATAATGCACCATGATTTAGTAAGTCACAGAAGTTTGAAATCTGTGCCAGCAGCCATTCTGAATTTTCATGTCATGACCACAGCTTGACATGTTGTCTGAACCCAAGATAGGTGTTTCAGAGTCACATGAGCTTTATTTAATCTGCAATGGGCTACAGTAATGGTGCAAGCTCGGCCACTGACTCTCAGCCTAAACCACCTCATAGCAGGGAAGTATGGGTGGTTTGGGTCTTAGCAGCAGCAGTTGGGCCAGGGTCCAGCAGAAGGTGGCAGTGGCTGCAGGAGGCATTGTTGGATTTAGTGAGGAAATTTAGTTTTAGCAGATATATTGCAGCTTAGAACTATGTCCTAATCTGACTGCAAGTTTGGCCAGCAGAAGGCCCCACAAAGCAACTTGAGGGCTTTGGAGTACCCCATAAAAGTACCAGCTGACCTGTTTCCCTGTTACTGGGCTTTAGCAAGATAGGCAGATGCAAATGTCTCTCCTGGCAACAGTTAATGTAAAGATGCAGGACTTGATGCTGCTGCTTCTCAGTGACCATCACATGAGGCTGAGACTGATTTATATGAGACTGTATGCAGTACATATAGTCACAGAACGTATCTTCAATATCTGGGGAAGCCTTGTCTCCTGGTGGGGCTATGGAAGTGGTATGGCCTCAGCAGGGACCAGAACACAGGTAGCAGGAGACAATACAGGGGCACCAGAACCAGGGTCTTGCCTCAAGTTCAATGGGACCAGAGTCAAAGAAGGCAAGACAAAGTCCCAACTCTAATAGCAAGGTTCAAGTCATAGTCACAGAACAGGCCAAGGTCAGGTTAGGCAAGATGCAGGAGCTGAACCACAGTTTACAGGAAGCCCTGTGTTGCTGAGCTGGCATGGCATGAATTGACCCATAGGTAGCAGAGAAATCTCTGTTTCTGAGGTGAAACGGTGAGACAGCACACACACAGTAAACCAGGATCTGGATCAAACAAGATGCAGGTACTAGAGCCAACAAGAGGACCTGTGATGCTGAGACAGCATCTTAAATAGAGCCTGCTCTTAAATAGATCCAAGACTCCCAGTTGGTGATCATCAGGAAGCTGAGAGCTCCAGCAGGCCTGGGACTGATTCTGCAAATACTGAGGTGGGCTTCTGGTTCTCACCATGAGATGACACCCTTGAGATCATGCCAAAGAGTTGTTGTGAGGATAAAATGGAGGAGGAGGAGGATCACATATACCACCATGGACTCATTGGAGGATGTGTAGGATATAAATGTAACAAATAAAAAAAGAAATACATAAATGGGTAATAGTGGATCTAAACCTGTGTGCTTTAGGATAGCAGTGAGTAAATTTAAAGATAACTAACACTGTTCAATTGTTTAGATAACAAACCAACGCAATAAACAGCAGAATTTTTTCCTGATCTCAAAAAAATTATGGATGCTTGTTATAGATGTTTGGTAAGCACTACTTGTTTAAAGTACAGAGAAGCACTAGTTAATGTCCATCAATGCTGAGCCAGAGACAGCTGTCCAGATTTAACTGAGAGTTATGCCAGGGACTCAGAGCTGGAAGACGAAGCTGAGGCAGAGTTGAGGTACTCTGCTGCCTGGAGCAGCTGCACACAGAGCTGAGGATCCTCATTTCTAGCCATGGAGTGTCCTGAAAACTACTAAGTAATCAACCAGAATATATGTTAACAAACTCTGCCATAACCTTGATACAGAACATTGTTAAGTGTCCGAACTGCACAACTCATAGTGCACCTCAGCTATGAGCTGATGGTGTAATCTTTAGAAAGCCATTACAGCCCCTGTCCCGCTGCTCTTACAACATGGGGGCAATAATACTGCCTACCATATAAAGTTGTGGGAAGATTTATTGAAAACAATGCATGTGAATTGCTATGAATATTCAAACAGGATATACATAAATACCAGTTATGATTATGATGTCAACAACTAACCATATCATAAAATCTTCAGATGTTATCTGCATGGTGAGACAGGAGTCTCAGTAGGCACACTAGTGCCCTTTGCAGAGTTATTACACAACTGCTTCACTGAAAGGCCACATTTCACAGCAAAAGTACATAATGCGTAACACAAAATAAAAAATCTAAAGTGTACACTTGTATTTTATAAACCACTTTATACAATGAATACACACACAAAGAAATTAGGTATTTACTTTATGTAATGCATGATAACTTTCAAAGTAATACCTAATCCATACAAGCCTTACAAGTAGACTTTAAAAAGGAGTCTGATAATTCAAATTCCTGGAAGCTGACATTTTTGGCTGCAGTCCTTCACATGGCAGGATATTTCAGATTTCTACTTGCCTGCATCAAATTTCTAGGCACTTGGATGAAAGCTAATTAGGATATTGCCAGCACCGTTGTCATATTTCAGTTTCTGATGGGTGCCGTGATGAGGTCTTCCTCTTGTCTCTATCTCATTATCGTTAATCACCTCTTTCGTCTAATGCCTTATTTCATAAAGATTTGCCCCAGCCCCCTTTTCAATCCTCTATTCTCAATTTTCTGCCCCTTTTCTTCCCGAAGCTTCAATTTTCCCAATCATGAGCTTTCTAGTTACTGTAACTTCTTGCTTTCTGTATCTTCTCTTTATTCCATTAAAGTCATTATTCAGATCACATCTGTTTGACATATTGGTCAGTCTGACCTTTTTTCTCTGGCCATAACTTGGTCTCTCTTTAGCCATTTCTTTGTCACTTTATATGATAGCTGCTCGAGTGATCAATCTTGATTATCTTCTGCCCTCAGCTAGTCTCTTCAACATATCTTATTTATTTCTTTATTTAAAACTTTTGTATATTGTCCACTACCAAATGGTCTCAGGATGGTCTTACAATGAAACAAAGTGGAGTGCAGCATCCATCCTATACAATAAAAACTCATTTAAAATCTCAATCTAAATCTAAAAATACTGGAAAATAAAATGTGTTTGGCCTGGCGCCAAAAAGAATAAAGTGTCAGCACCAGGCAAACTTCTCTGGGGATCCTATTCCATAACTGGGGCGCCACCACAGAGAAAGCCCTTCTCTGGGTAGCCACCCTCCTATTCATTAATCATGGAGGATTCCCAGGGAAGGACTTCTGCCCCAGATGTTAAGGGGCAGGCAGGCACATAGGGAAGGAGACAGTCCTTCAGATATCCAGGTCCTAAGTCATTTAGGGTTTTATAAGTCATCACCAGCCCCTTAAATTGGGCCTGGACTTCAATTGGTAGCCAGTGTAGATGGTAAAGGACCAGCATTATATGTGCATATCTGCCGGTCTCTCTTAACATCCTTGCTGCTCTGTTCTGGACCAAATGAAGTATCCGGACCATCTTGAAGGGCAGCCTCATGCACAGCATGTTGCAACAGTCCAATCTGGAAGTTACCAGAGCATGGGTCACCCTGTTATCTTTCTTTAAACACTCCATTACCCTTTCTCTATACATTTCTGCACATCAGTTCTGTTCTTCCTTCCTCCATTCCTCTACCCATGCCTTCAGAAATACACCAGCCACCCACAGGCTGCATGCCTCTCTTACTTCAGCTGACAGCATGAAAGTCAAAAGTGCCACATGCTAATTACAGCTCAGAGGCCAACTCTTAAAGGTCTAGAGGACAATGTAATCTCTCAGCTAGCCCACAATGTACAGCTCAGGGTAGCTTTTATATGAAGAAGTTTGGAATCTCAATGACTTGAATGAGATAAAGCTTATTTAGAGTTCCTTTATATACTGTTTCTAAAACCTCTTCCTAGCTTATGTCCCTGTAGCGAGGGATGGGGCTGGGTTGAGGTGAGAGGTAGTATTAGTCAAATGGACCAAATGGAGGATTTATGCAGAGTGGAGGGAGAAGCCACTGAAGACATAAACAAAATGGAAAGTAAAGATGAGATAGAAAACAGATCCTACAAACTGTAACGCACGCACGTAAAAGGAGAGATCAACCTCCTACTGCCCTTAGCCAACCATTTACAGGCTACATTTTTTCAATGGTTGACAGGCTCCTGGGCTCCTAGATATTTGTATCTCTGCTTAAACTTGAAAGGTAGTTCCCTCATGGAGGACATTCATTGAAAACAAAAATAAAGACCCAACAAAATAATAATTTCAGCAGTATGAGTTCTAGCTTTAGTCAATTTTAGTTATTTTTAATCATATCATAAAATGTGCATCTGATTAATCTATGGAGCCAAAAACCAGGCAAGACTAAGCTACAGACCTCTTCATGGATTTGCTGTTATAGTGATGACACAGAAGGGCTTTCTCTCTCTTTACTTCAGATTTGATGCTAAAAATACATAAAGGTGACTTCTCTTCACAATTTGCATCCAAAGCTAGTTTATAGTTTGCATATTAAAATTAAACATGCAGGGCTGTCTTTCAAGCAGTTAGAGTCAAAGGCAGCCAAAAAGACAGTACCCTGTGAAAGTCATTATTATATTTTAAGGCTATACACCCATCCCTGGCAGCAAATTCCATTGAATGCAATGGATCCTACTTATAAGTAGACAGGTATAGGAGGCACTTTAACTGTACGAGAAGAACTATAAACCTGTTAAAGAAAATAGCAAGCATGCACTTTCCCTCAGTCACATGGGTTTCCCATAAACCTATATGAGGGGACAGTGTTTTGTTCTCCTAGAAGACAACAGGACATTACCTGCATTTGTGTAGATCAGGGTGGGCAATCAGAACCTGCAGATTATATCTAACAGCAATAAGTAAAATAGCAATAATTACAAAATAAAGATTTTAACACAAAAAGATCCAAACCTCTTCCAAAAGAACAGGCAAGCCTAGACGAATAGCATTCTCCAGAGTACGCAGGAAACCAGAGTCTGTCAGTTTAATTATCTTCAAACCATTTCTTGTTTCTTTGTTTCTTATCCAGCGGTTTGACTGTGCATTAAAGAAAAAAATAATTAAGAATGATGGTGAATGTCAAATCTTACTCCAGCAATTAATGTTTCTATCAAAATTTTCTCTCTAATTTTCTCTACACTCCTAGGGGTGGTATACAAGCACCAAGTGACAATCGAAATGGTGTTTCACATCTGAGAACTAGAAAAACAGACCTTCCCCAAGGGAGGAAAATGAACATTCTCAAACTGAAAGCACCATCTGCAAAGCAATCTCCCAGAAGTCTCATCCGACAAAGAATAAGCATCAGTGTGATAATCTATAGTAAAGTCATATTGTGATTTTCATGTGATTTCATAATAAGTTGTTGGAAGGACAGGTCTTGTAAACCACTGGGGTATTGGTTCCTTTTAGAAAATCGGCAATAACTCTACTAGGTGATAAGCATTTTGTAGCCTTATATGCCGAGTAAATGCAATTGGTAGGTAAATACCTTCTCCCCCACTCCCAAACCTGTCAGAAGGATACAAACATAGACTTTATTTCCTGACACTTCTGAGTCCTTCCAAGGCAAAATTGGAGTACTTCCTTTACATATAGAGAGAGTAACTCTTTTCCTTTCAGATATGAAGCACTGGACACAAGGAAAGCAACACAATCCCCTCCAATATATGGAATGAATAATTAACTTTGGGGATAAATAAAAGGTCTAGTCTTAGGACCACTTTGTCCTTGTGAATACTATAAGATTCCCTACTGATGGAGACCAATTTAGCTCATTTATCCTACAAGTAATGTGATTCCTATCAAAATGGCCATCTTAAGGGACAGTTCGCTGAGAGGACAGATAGCCAAAAGGTATAAGCATAGACAAGAGAGAACCACATTCAAATGCCAAGCTATGAATTCTAGGAGGGTTCAGAATGCCTGTGAAACCCTTAATCATCATTGGTTTTGATCTGAAGGAGGATTCTATCCCAAGCTACTGCAGAATGGAGCTGTGCCACCCAACTGAGAAAGCTTGTGCCTGATGTGATCAATAGATGCATTAGCATTCACTTGCTACAAGATTTCTCTGCCATCAGGCAGTTCAGGAACATCTACTACATTTGCTTTTGGCAAAGATGTTCTGGCAGGCTAAGGATGCATGTATCTTCCATGCAATCTGGCTCTAGTAAAGAGGAAAAAAAATGGAGGTGGGGGGTAGAGGCTGGAAAGTTGCATCTTGACAAGTCACCAGCAGGTTCAATAGTTTTGCTAGAATTCATAAAGTTTGTATGACTTATAAGAACATGAGTATGAAGTCAGTCACTCTCAAGAGCTTCTGTATTCATTTTTGGAAAAGGAACACCTTATCCAAAAATGTATCATTTTTTAAGGAGATCTGCTGAAGTGAGGAGGCTCTTAGCTGACCTAATCACTAACTCATACTTCAGCTGCCATGCGTGTATGAATATCCCAAACTCTTCTTATCAGTAACTTGGCAATATGGAGATATGTTTTGGACAGGTTCACTAATCTCTGAAAATCTCTGTTGTTGACAGATGCTAGTTTCAAGATTTCCATTCTGAAATGTTTCATCCAATGTAAAGAGGCAGTATTAAAAAAAAAGAATTAGACCCTGGATGGGAATTTAGCAGAAGCTGGGGGAAATTGCACAAGCGGCAGTGTTTTTCCCATGCCAAGGGCCTTCTGGATCAAAGTATATCATTATTATTAATTAAATTTCTATACCACCTGACCACAACATAAAGTATATAGTGTACACAGAATTCTAGTGCCAATTCAAATTGCCTGCAAATGCAATTTGTTGGCAAAGTTTAAAAAGAGAATTCACAAGTAACGTTACCATATATGTAAAGCTATGTTTGGCATAAACTATTTTTTATTACTTGATATCTGGATTACAAAAAGGTGAATGGTAGGTGGCAGAAATTAGAATTGAATATAATCTGACTGCTATGTAATGGTAATGTTTTCCAAAAAATACAGTATTTGTGACATATTGAAATGCTTGCTGTGAATAACAGATTAAAACAAGACAAGGCAAAATATTATTTGAAATCAGCACCTACCTGATCTTGGGGATCAATCATGAGTGGCCAACGTCGTCCCCGTGTAACTAGAATGCCATTCTCAGTGGAAATATAGTCACGTGGTAATCCATCAGTGTTCCACTGTCTAATTTCATATGGATCTCCCAAAATATTTATAAGACTGAATTCAGAACTAATTGGAATATCTAGCTCCTGACATTGTTTGATCCAGCAATCTATTAACTGAGATAAAAGAAAGAAACAAGGAAGGAAGAGGTATTTTTCATTAGTTGACCAGCTCCATTTCTGAAATTATTTGGGCATCAATAAGGCTAAGGTCTAATAATGGAATATGAAAGAATGTTCTGCTCATTTTTAGGGGTTTAGCTTTTTTTTTAAAAAAAGTGAAAAGTTCACTTTTAAAAAAGTGAAAAGTGAACTAGAATTGCAACTGAGATACCAGCTAGTTGGGAGAGTATTACCAGTGGGGTAATATGAATAAAAATGGGAACAGCTGGATTAGAATCAGTTGATGGGGGGGATCCCCCCCCTTTTTCGTAGACTTCCAAATTTAGAATTTAAAAGAAATAATATTCCCATTTACAGATGGGGATTTTTTTCCTTTCTATAAAAATAGCCCCATCTAGCTCTGCCTGAATAAACAAAGAGTAATGTGTTTGGTACATAAAGAAAATAGCTAATTACCCCAATTCATCAGCCTGAAATGCATGCACAAATGGATACTGGGCATGTTTCTGACAGCTGGAAAAATGTGAGAAATTTAATGATATCAATCATCTTCTTGGGGTGGAATAAGTATTCTCCATCTAATTCTTCCATGTCTTCCAACAAACAGATGATTAGCAACATTCCAGGCTATATGGCCTGAGCAGTACACACATAATCCTAGCTCTTGAACCACTCCTTTCAGCCTAGGAACTGTTTATACATCTTCTGTTTACACACCATTCCTCTTGTTGGATCTGGACCACTGTTTGTAGATATATCCTATCAGTGGATAACCAGTTCATTAAGCCTCTCTCGACCACTGACACTGAAGAGAGGCAAATTACTGTGACTGGAGCAGAGCTGTCCCAGTTTTCCAAATGTATTTTATTTGATCATAATATGTGCAAGTGTTTTCCTGAGGAGTGAAATAATCACCAAGAGGGGGTTTACTTACCAGTTGTCTATAATGTGCTGTAAAAGCTCCATAATAGGCTACACATGCTGCAGCTATGAATACATTTCCAGTGATATTTGAAATCTCTGCCTCAAAATTTAAAATACTCTCTTCCCACCGGACCTGTTCATCTCCTAATGCTGCTGTAAGTTTTCCAGCTCGATTAAGACGAGCCTGAGTCAGTGCCATGGTCCTTGCTAAACAAGGACAGATAACAGATAACATTAGTAGGTCATGGTTATTATTTATTTAAAAACAGTCATTTATTGTTTTGTGAATCATTCTTCTGCTTTTCTTAGCTAAAAAAAGATTGCATGACTAGAGTCAAATGAAATAAATCAAACAAAAGGTTTCATAGCACAACTTTTCTTCATGAAGTAATCCTAAGAAAACAAGGCAATGGCAAGCAAATTCGTTGCTGACAACTTTCAACTCAACTCTATACAATGCTCCATTGTCCTTGAGTTTTTGTCTTCACCTCAAGTAGGGGATATGATAGCACTCCAGAGATATTCTGGATAGAAAGAAAATTACTCCACCAGATGCCCCACTCACAGCTGAATCATCCCACCAATTCATTCAGAATTCAGCTTTTTCCTACTTTGTCCCTGGAAGTGTCAACCTGCAAAGCATTTGTGATGCTCCAAGGACAGTACCTTAGATTTTCAGTGACACCTAACTATGTACCATATTGATACAAAAGACTGTATCTATTCTTAAATATTGATGCCTCACTGTTATATAGAGAGCCAGTATGGTAAAGTGGTGAAAAGTGTGGGACTGGGACTCAGGCAATCTGGAGCCAACTGGGTGACTTTGGGCCAGTCTCAGACTCTCAGCCCAACCTACCTCACAGGGTTGTTGTGGGGATAAGATCGAGAGCAGGAAGAGAAGAATGATGTAACCACTTTGAGTTCTTTAAAAGAAAAAAAGGTGTGGTATAAATCTAATAAATAAATAAATGTTTGTGTAAAACTCCCTCAATAAAAAGAAAATTTAAAATACTGGTACTGCTAACAATAATGCCCTGGGTAAATAGATTTGGAGTGCAGGTAGAATAACTGCAGGATGGCTGACTATATACAAGTGAGCAATTTCAGACTTACAAACCTCTTGGTTATATAAACAAGTCTAAATTCTTAAGGTACTTGTACATCTGAAAAGTCTAGAAGTCTAATTGCTGATCATACCATTAGGTATCTTTGCCAACTAAAGCTCTCATCTGCCCATTTTATCCTTGCAAGTTGATTAAAAATAAGATAACAGAGGGTTCTACTACATTCCTAGTCTATGACCATCTGTAGTGCTCCAGGAAATTACTGGGCATCTTTTATTACTATTACAGCTTCAGGAAAGTTTGAGGATTTAATTAGCTCTGTACAGAGTAAACACAAAAATAATAAGATAAAATGTTACAATCTTTAAAACGGCAACTTACCAAGGTTCTCTTTTTCCTCCAGACTTTTTTCATACTGGTCTTGTAACTCCTGTATTTGTTCTTCTACCTGCCTCAATTTTTTCTGCTTATCTCGAAGGGTAGCCAAAGTTGCATCGAGCTCTGCCTATCAGTATTACAAACTGATATTTATAATTGTTGTCTCAAATTCTATGTCTTACTTTATTCATTTGTATAATCATTTGGTGAGAAATAATCCTTATACTACACAAGAGAAGTGTCAAGTGCCATTCAGAAAAGAATTCCCATAATTTCCTCAGTACCAGTCAGTACCTTTTATACCTTAATCAGAAACTAAGCATCATACATCCACATCCAACTTTCTAACTATTAGACTACATTGATACTCACACATTTAATGTAACAATGAACATGTATAGTATTGTTTCAAGATATCCACTGCTCTTTTCACAGGTAGCAAAAATTAGGAAGCCAAATCAGCAATTTTCTAGAAGGGGACTGTGCACATTTTCAAATGAGGCATGGAAAGAAAGGTGTTACCACTTTTGGCCGCTATGGGAGCTCCTTCTTCCCATTTTTAATTTTATTTCCATTGATACCCATGACAGCAGCACAGTTCCTTTCAGTGTACAATAGTTGGGGGCTACTTCCAAGGGCCACTGCAATGATGCTGCATTACGGCACACTGGTGCTGCAGGCTGGAAAGATAACTGTAGAATTCCACTGTTGCCACTTTGATTACTTTGATTTATATGCCACCCGATTAGCCATAGGCTCTCTGGGCAGCTTATATACAATCAAAGAAAAAAATTGCATCAATACAATAAGGCAATAATATAATTAAAATAATAATGATAAAACAATTGATAATAATAAAATATAAATTAAATATACAATCTTAATAATTAAAAAGTTAATAAACAGAGAGGGGACCATGGTATCCTGGCAGAGTTGGAGATTGGAGACCCTGCTTTGTGGTGGTTCCGCTCCTATTTGGCTGGCCGATTTCAGTAAGTGGTGCTGGGGGATAATGGCTCTGCACAATGGCAGTTATGCCACGGAGTTCCACAGGGTTCCATTTTATCCCCCATGCTATTCAACATCTACTAGAAACTGCTGGGAGAGGTCATCTGGAGTTCTGGACTGAGGAGTCACCAGTATGTGGGTGACACCCAGCTCTACCTCTTTCATCCAGGAGAGCCTGAAACTGCCCACCCACAACCCGCTCAATCACCTTGTCCAAGAAGGCGATGTTGGTAATTGGTTGAAAGTTGTTGACATCATTCAGGTTCATGATAGGATTTTTCTGGAGTGGTTAAAAAACTGCAGTTTTTAAAGCATAAGGCACTACTTCCTCTGTAAGAGAGGCATTAACAACCTCCTGACTCAACCTTGAATCCCCTCTTAAGAGTTTATGACCAACCAAGATGGGCAAGGGTCAGCCAAGCAGGTCATATATGCCCTCCCGCCCCTTGAGATTAGCAACGGATGCCCTTCTCCAGGAACACTTTGTGAATGATATTAGGAGGGTGAGTACCCGGAGGAGGGCTTTTTCTGCAGTGGCGCCCCACCTATGGAATGCGCTCCCCAGAGAGGTCTGCCTGGCGCCGTCATTATTTGTTTTTTGGCACCAGGCTAAGACCTTTTTATTTAAAATTTATTTTAATTGCTAAATTATTGTATTTATTAGGATTTTAAAATTAGCCGAGAATGCACCGGGGGGATTTAATTATTTTTCTTTTAAATTGTTATATTGTTATTGTTTATGTATGTTTTTGTGTATTTTTTGTGAGCCACCCCAAGGCTTTGTTGCGATGGGGGCGGCATAGAAATGTTTTAAATAAATAAATAAATAAATAAATAAATAAATAAATAAATAGGCTAGACAGACACAAGCACCCTGTCTGCATCATTAGGCTGCAAAAGCTGAAACTCATCCAGTAGAATGGAACAAGTCAGTGCGCTGGACAGCACCACTGATGATACTGGAATAACTGTGGAGTCCAAGTCTCTATAGATCCAAGCGATTTTATCCGCAAAGGGTTGCACAATTTCCACACAGTGGGCCTCCAGGGGTTCTACCGGATCTCCTCTTGGGTCCAAATGTAAAAGGCCGTGAACCACCCGGTAAAGCTCCACTGGGTGACACAATGAGATTGCGATGTTGGCACCAATGAACTTTTCCTTAATGCTTTTACTGTCACAGAATAGACTCAGTGATGAGCACTAAGCTGTGTTCCATCAGATTTCTTTTGAGTTCTCCTCTACCTGAACTAAAATGAAGTGAAAATGGACCAATTCCTTCTCCTCTGCCAGCAGTAATAAGCTCCCCCCATATTAACTCCCCCCACAAAAAAAAGTCAATCCCCCTTGAAGAAATCCTAAATTTTGAGGTGCTGCTCTAAGGAGGAAGAGTGGGCCCTGCTTGTCCTTCAGGAATAGCTAGAAGGAAAAGCAGGGCAGGAAAAAAAGAGTGCACGCTGAAACATCTGTCAATCCACTCAACATGAATATATGCACCCATGGAGACCCTGGCAACCTAATCCAGGAAAGAAGGCCTGACAAGGGGCTAAAGTTGCTCTGTTCATTTAAAGTGCCCAAATTTTCTCAACTTAGTCAGCCATAGGTAGTTAAAGCATCTGAATATCATTTTTCCCCCTACATGACCCACGAAAATCTTGTCCACTTTAAGTAGGGTGGGGAGGGTAATGAAAAGGAAAGAAAAACAATTAAACAGCAAGTCTAATTAGATGAGCTCCGAAACTCCACTAGAACTCAATTTTCAGAACCTGACTGGTTTATGGACTGGGCAAACTCCCTTGACTGGAGGAATCAATTTGTATGCAGAACATGCTTCCTGTTGGGTGGGAGGGACAATCCTGAAAGATAAGGAATATACCCTACCTATACCAGAGAAATGAATTGTTCTCATTAGGAAAGTAGTTTGCTTCAGATAAGACTGAAGGGGGGAAAAGGGAGGGGAATGTTCTAAGTGAAAGTCAAAAGCTTTTTCCTTCAATAATTAAACAATTTAAAAAGACAAGCACCTGTGCAGCATTTAACTTCTGTCTTTTTGGCTCCACAACCTTGACAACTCGAGAGTATAAATCCATAGCTCTCACCCACATACACATTGACTTGCATGCTTTTGACACCTTCTCTACTTTTTCTGGCACAAAATCAGGGTTGTTCATATATTTCTGAAGCTTGAGCAATATTTGGCTCTTTATATTTTCTTTATCATATTCTAAAAGCTTTTTCAGAAATGTGGAGTCTCCAAGAAGCTGCTTTGCTGTTGCCCAGTCAGGCCTGAAAGATTAAATAAAATGCAGGAATTTAGAAATAGCTGTCCAAGAGGACATATTAACTAATAGAGTTTCATACATTTTTAAAGTTTCTATGCTTTATACCAATGATAGGATAAAATGTGGACTTGGACCAACTAACAGTCACATTTCTAAGGTACATATAATTAATTTCAATACAAAGAAGAAACAAAACTAAAAAACCAATGCTATAGGGCTAGAAAAAAAAATAGAGAATAGTTTAGCAAGGGAAAAGAATGATGCCTCATGATTGCGAATGCTTTGTGATAATGTGATTTGAACTTCAGTGGCACCTCTATGGATTTCATGTAATTCATAGAGACATTTCCACAACAGGCTGCCAGAGCTGTTCTTCCTCTAGAAGACTGAGGACTCTAGGTTGTTAGCATTGAAATTCTAGCCAAACCACAACAGGTATACATATATAATTTCATTATCTTGAGGCAGTTTAGACAAAATCGTCTGACCTTTGTTTTTCTCGTAACAAAGACAAGACTTGTGGTCTGCTGCTTTAAACTTACAAATGAGAAGCTTTTTCTTATCCAAATTATTGGCAGTTCATAAAAATAAATGAAAAGCTTGGTAAGATACTGTATCGGCAATTTTATTAAGTGCATGTTATATTTTCTTGCACAAAAATGGCAAAAGGAGAATAAGCCTGAAGCACATTTATGTTCTTCAAAGCTGGTAAGTGCTATTGCTGATGATTTCAATTTTTGCTAACTTAAAGTACTACCTTTGAATTGACTGCAATTCATGTAAACCGATAAGTAACTTTGGTAAGCTTTGTTAGCTGCTTGTATTACATTAAAAGTAAGGAATGTGAGGTTCTCCAGATGTTGGTGGACTGTCACTCTGATCATTTTTCACCACAGGCCTTGCTAACTAGGGCTGATAAGAGCTGCAATCTGACAACAACTGGGCCCACACCTTCCTATCCCTGTGCTACAGAAAGAGACAGGATTCATTGTGTACCATTGTAAGCATTTGTAAACATAACAGGGCATGAATAGGCTTGCTTATGCATTTATCAGCCACATTACCATTCACCACAGAAGTTATGAAAGTGATATACAATTTGTAAAAATCAATAGTAATAAAAAACATAAGCAGCATGTCTAACATTACGTGGCAGCAACCTAGAATGATCTGGCAATGATCCTAAGGAAAAGCTCTGGTAATAATTGTATCCTCTCCTACCAGAAATTTCCCAGGGTTGGGTGCCACAATTGAAAAGGCTATACTTGGCAGTTCAAGTTCTCAGTATAAGAAGAATACAGAGCAGAGCCTCCCAAACTGATCTCAGTATGTGGAGAGGTACATATGAGAATTCTATTAATTACTCAGACTATGGAACAGTTATCATATTGTTATTCTATTTTAATATTAAATTATATAATGTGCAGTAAAATCCTATAAAAGTTTGTTCGCTAATCTGTTTCATTTTTATACCCTGCCCCCCCCCCCCCAATAGCTGAAGCTGTCGGGGCAGTTAACAAAAGTTAGGAATATCACAGTGTCTAAATGTGCCTATGACAGCATATTAATGCTCATATCATCTAGTAAACAGGCATATATGTCCAAGAACTTGTGGAGGTGTAAGTTTATGCTGGTCAACAGATCAATAACTCCACAACACAAGAATACAGTGTTATTAAATTGGATTACAAAGAATGACAAACTGAGAACTAGAAATCCTAACAAGTGTAAGACACAAAATTACATGAGGAGTGATTAATGCTCACAGAGCTACAGAGACATGCAGTGTTTGCTAACAGCAAGTGCATTATAAATGGTTATCAAATAAAAGGTATATAAGGTAGTAGGTTGTGCAAACTTAAATGGATTCATGGTGATACTTAGCGATAATCCAAAGATTCCAGTCCCTCCCTCACACTTCAAATTGCATCTTCCCACCAAATGCTCACATTATAGACATGGTGATTACAGGGGTTGTTTCCAGAAATACCAGCACATTTTAAGTTTTCATTACCAGTATCTAGGAGAGGCATTTTGCCTTTTAGAAGGTTGAAATGGCACAGAAGTCAGGAAACTATCCAGTTATTGGTGGATGGGACAGAGGGGATGGCACAAAGGTGGTGACGCCGGGGAGGGAACAGGCCGTGCAAAGAATTCTAGATTGCCAGATGAGAACTCCAGGACTACTGGATTAGGCTTACAGGCCTAAGGTTTCCCAGACCTTTTCTGGGGTCAATTTATGATGTCAACACAATATCAAAACAATGATGTTGTCCTGGTATAGGAAAGTTCTCAAATATTTTTTGATAGAGGTTTGTCTCATAATATTAAAGAGAGCATTCTAGAAATCGTGAAATTAGTGTTCCCCCAGCAAACGTATTTTAGATCAGAGAATCAAAGTGTTTTCATGTTGTTTCTAAAAATCTGAATCATGTTTGGAAAAACTCTAAAAAGGTAAAATAATTGAGCTTTGTTATGTTTAGCTTTGAAAACTATATTATTTGTCCTCTAACTGTGACTTTCATTTGCTTTCTGATAAATGTACTTGATGTAATGCATCCTTAGATTTCTTTTGGGGTATTTGTTAGTGGCTGACTTGGCCTGAAGCATATTATGCCATCATTAAACTCCTTAAGAATTAATTTGTTTAAAAGAAAAAAGTTTGAATATGGCTTACATATATCTAAATAGATGTCTTTTACCATTAAATATTCCTGACTATTCCTGACACATCAAAATCACAGTTATAGTTTGTCAATCCCAATTAAATTTAAGCCCCCAGTTTTAATTTATTCCTGCCCCCTATTAATTAGTGTCATAATACACAGCCATACTATTCTGCTTCATAACACTTGATAGTATTTCTGAAACTAATGCCAAAACTAGATATTACAGAAGATGTACGGTTGTTGCTGAACATACAGTAACAATTCTTTTATCTCACCTGTACCATTTCATAATACAAAAATGATAAAGTAATATTACCATGAACTGGGTTTTCCTAACCCAGGTCTACTTCACTGGCTACCTCCTATAATGGTGGGAAAACTTGTAGCACAATGGCATAATCTCATGTGTTAAAGAGAAGAAGGAAAAATGAAAGTCTTTCTACTGAAAATTGCTTTAGGAAATGAATGTCATTTCACATGAAATCACAGCTGAAGCTAAAATCAGTGCTGAAGTTCGAAGACATGGTATGGTTAACTTACTTTGCATTTAAAAGAATACATATAGCTTCCATCACTGTCATGACAAGATCAGGTGGTTTAGTGAATACTCGTATTTCAGAAATATCTGCTTTATCTAAAGAATCAAGTGCTTTATTGGCAGCATCTAAAGCTGGAAGGGCCTCATCCAAATCACGCTGGGCATCATCAGCTATTGCCTGAGTATCCTCTGCTTTTACTTTTGCAATAGCTTCATCTTCCTGGACAACACGCCGAACCTAGAAAAAAGTGATTGGTCAATACATATGTTATTAAAAAGTTTAAAGTTGTCTCTGATTTTTCTTTCCATTTGCAATACCTTTTTTCAAAATATAAAGAATCAAAATAGAAACATGCTGTAGTCTCTCTCTCTCTCTCTCTCTCTCTCTCTCTATATATATATATATATATATGTATGTATGTATGTATGGGCTTGAATATAGAATTTTATTCCACTGATGGGAGCATCCTCCAAAGGAGCTCCACTCAGAATGTTCCAACTGGTGTGGATAGGAGGCAATTTTCAATCATTACTTCCCACTCTACAACTCTCCATACCACTTCTCTCATTGTTGCAGAGTATCTCCCAAACTTGCTGTTGGAGAATTCTGGAGCACAGGACACTGCAGAGGGAGCACAGAAATAAATGAAAATGCCTTTCTCCCCCATTCAGCTAGTGGAAAAGCTTCACTGGATCAATGCTTTCCTCTAAAAAAAAAAAAAGGAAGTTCCTCTGTCTACAAAAGGCTTACGTTGGATCTCAACTGCTATATTTAGTAAGATGGCATGATAGAATTCTGTTGTTGCTGTGTTTTTAAAGATGCCTGTGATGAAAAATATGCAGACATAAGGCTATCCTTGAGATTTTTCTGCCCTAGAACAACCCTGGAAGCTCTATTCCCATTATTTTGTAGAAACAGGATCCATCAGATGTGCATCAGAGAAGGAAAAATGAAAAAGCTGAAGCATTAATCCTAAACCCACTGACTAGGTAGTGAGTGACCCTGAACTCCATGACTGTGCTAATGAGGTAGAACAAATATTCTGTGAGCAGAAGGTCCAAGGTTTAATTACTGGCCTTGCCAGTAAAATGAGAATGAGAAGAACCTCTGGCAGTACCATGCTATGTGGAACAATGGTCTAAGAGTATATATTCAGCATATCAATGAAATTCTCACAGCAGTCTTAACTGATACATGAATGAAAGCATGATTTAGGTCAAAAGTCTATTAGTCATTACAACCACATTTCTTCTAGGCATGTTTTTCCCCACTTTTGACTGCATATCATTATATAATGAAGTGAATAATTAATGTTTAATTGTTAACTTTGCTGCTTCTTCTAAGAACTGATGAGTGGTAAAATATTGTTTGGAAAGCTCCTAGTGATAGGAGGGTATGAATGTCTTGCTGGGGCATACTAGGAATTGTAGGTCTCTTTCTGTCCAAACATGCAAAGGACTGTGCCCATAATAATGTTTAATACTTTTTACCTGATCTGCATTTTCTTGATCCACTGCTAATTTTTCCATCAAAGCTTCAACATCAATTGATTTCTCCTTGAGGACTGGTTCTAAGGCTGAAAGATCTAATTTCATTTTATCAACCAGTACATTTGTCTCTAATAGTTTGCTTAAACCATTCTTTACACGATCCCGAGCCTGAAAAAACAAACATTACTGTTTGGTGACTTCCCGCCTAGACTTCTGTAACGCGCTTTACGTGGGGCTTCCCCTGAAGACAGTCCGAACACTTCAATTGGTGCAAAATAGAGCTGCCAGGTTGCTGACGGGGACGGGGCATTATGCTCACATGACTCCAGTCCTCCGTCAGCTTCACTGGCTTCCCATTGAAGCCCGGGCCCAATTCAAGGTGTTGATTATGACCTATAAAGCCCTAAACGGCTTGGGTCCTGGCTACCTGAACAAGCGCTTACGTCCGTACATGCCCGACCGCCCTTTGAGATCTGCGGGAGAGTCCCTTCTCCGGGAACCCTCCATGAAAGAAATTAGGAGAGTAAGTACTTGGAGCAGGGCTTTCTCTGCGGTGGCACCCAACCTATGGAATTCACTCCCCAAAGAGGTCCGCCTGGCACCGTCGTCACTGGTTTTTCGGCGCCAGGTAAAGACCTTTTTATTTAAACATCATTTTAATAGTTAAAACATATGATCTGGCCAGGGCAACTTCTTCTTCCTTCTCTTTCTCCTCCTATATTTTTATTTACTTAATTTATACTGATAATTTTAACCTTATATTTGTAAATCGATGTATTTTTGTATTTAATGGTAATTTATTATGTGCTAGTGTATTTCAATGTATTTTATCGTGTTGTAAGCCGCCCCGAGGTTTCGGCAAGAGGCGGCATAGAAATGTTATAATAATAATAATAACAACAACAACAACAACAACAACTCCTCAGTAAACCCAGAAAGTCATTGTGTGAAAAAGAATTTATTTACTTGTTTACTTGTTTATTCATTTATTTTAAGCATTTCTATGCCGAGAATTAAAAGGTTTCTCTGTTGTACTCGCTTGCCCGTCTCATTGATGCAGAAAAGCGAATCTCTAGGCTCAGTCCCAGAGGATTCCCCCCATAAGCCGGAAAC